TGTCATGTGTCGTAAACAAATAAAAAAAACGTGTTGGTTGAATTTTAGTTATTTATTATACAAGCGGATAAAGAAATTGTTTTTCTACGAGTGAAAAGGTTAAGTTTACGAGTGACGAAGTCACGAGTAGATAAGAATTACTTTATTTCACTAGACGATAAAAGAATGAAATTAGTTGATAAAAGCACTCTTTAATATTGAGTACAATTTTGTTTTCTAAAACCGTTTTCTCAAACCGTTTTGCATCGTGTTATTTCTTTAGGTTCCAATATTACCAAATGTGTTAGAAAACTTTTATCATTGAGGTATTTATGGAAAGTAGCAAATAATTGAACCCGATCTTGAACCCATTGAAGAAATTCAAACTATTTTCCCTGTTTTTACTCAAAAAATTCAGGTACATGAATATTACGAGATATCTAGGTATGCACTATGCAGGCATACATTAAAAATAATAATTTMTATTTCAATCTGTCCTCGTTTTCTTTCCGCTCYATTATATCATCTCCCCATACCTGCCTTGCATTAATTTTTCTGTTCATTGTCTGCGATAATCGTTCGGTCCCTCCTAACCTTGCTCTGTTTCAAATCATCTACAATTTTCTCGTCACTTCACCTTGAAATCTTCATCGAAGGAAAATTCAAAAATCGTGTCGCATTTCCATCCAAAATCCGATGTAAACAGAAAAATCTGTCCCACCAAAATTGTCTCGCGCAACATCTGGAGAGAGCGGCTCGCAGCCAGCGCGCGTTATTTAGTCTGAGCTATAAATACAACTATCAATTAATTTAATGATGTTCAAAAGTCACCGAAACTTTTAAAAATGAGGTTATTTCACCGGAACGTTCAATTTATTTCGGCTCATTTTCAGCGAGAGAGGTGACTAAGCGTCGCTTCTTTGGCGATATTTTCGTCGTCGCGCGATTTGTCGACGTCGCAGATTCATTCCGATCACGGCGAATCCGTAACCATATTAAAAGTCGCCGTGGAATGTTACAGCCGATGGTACCGTTGGGAGGCTCAAGGGCCGCCGATTGATTAAGCGGCCAGATGGGGACGATGGGCTCGGAACACCGAGCGGTGGCGGTGTCTGAGCCCGGTGGACGCGAGCCAAATGAATCACGGCGTCGCGACGCCAGGCGAACTGCCAACCGATTCTGGAGTGCACCTGGGCGCGAAACGGGGGAGGCGAAAGGTGATTAAAAGCGGGAAAATGGCCAAAAGATGGTACCAGATCATCCGGTCCACTTCCAGAAAATAGGGACAGCGATACACGATCAACGTTTTTCATTCTCATAAGCAACAAGTGTAAACTATACAAAACTAAAATCATGCCAAAGTCGCTCTCGACTTGTCCCGTGTGGTTGCCCTGAATATACAGCCTGTCCCAGCTAAGACTTTTTCACAATTTTAGGTTTTTTATAGAAAAAACTAACGATTTTCGATATGTATCTCATCTTCAGTAAATATGTCAGGTAACAATAAACAAAATAAAATTAAAAAATACTTAGTTGTGATTTTAAAAAGCTTCAAATTCGATAAACAAGCAGAAAACTCATCAAGGTTTTTTTTAAATAGAATGCCGCTTTGGTACTTTTAACTTTACAAAAAAAATAAAAAAAAATCTGCTTTTAAAAAGGAGAAAGATGTCAAACTTATAAATTATTTCTGGTGCTGTTTAATATAAAACTACAAAAAAATTATATGTTCTTTTATTTCCGAGGGAAATTATTAGAACATATTTTTATATTCTCATTTGTCCAGAGGCGTAGGTGTGTACGTATACCAGCACCTTTTTAGAGTAAAATTATACCAGATAACAATTAAAAATGTGTATAGGTAGTTTTTGGGTAAAATATTAAGTTAAAGTAAAGTAAAGTAAAAAATATTAAGTTAAAGTTTAGCTTAGACTGTTAAATTTATACTTCATGATGACATATTAAAAAACTTATGTCGGATTTAAAAAAGAAATTGAGAGTCTGAGTATAAAATTTACTTTATTTCTCTATGCAGTGAGAGACAAAATTATGGAATAATCTTATTAAAACTGAAAATATTTTGTTTTGGCAAAAGTGCTCGAACAGGTCAATTTTCTTTAAAAAAAAAACACAATTTTTTATTTGATTTAACATTTTACACTTTTTGGTTTTTGAGTAATGACGTCATCGACATTTTTTTAAATGTAAACCCCTAACTTTTTTAGCCAATTCGATAGATTAATTGTCGAAATGACAACACTAAAATATTAAATATTACATAAAAGTTTTTGAAACCAAAAAAAAATATTTTCACTTTTAATAAATAAGATTATTCCATAATTTTGCCGCTCACTGTATGTGAATTCGTATTCTGCGTTTGGAAGATTGAAATTGAAATTTGTACCACCTTGTATTGTATTGTAATTAGAAAAAAATTCATAGAAAATTGAAATAAACGGATTTATCCTGTATGCATAACTTTATTTTGAAGCTGTAGTCTCTAAAAGTTTCAAAATTAGGAAAATGTCATATCTAAAATAAATTTTTTAACTGCACTGTACATTTTATTTTAATATAACTAAGGTTATTTTTGTATACAGGATGTTTTTTTGTAGATTTAAAAATACGTTTTCCAGTATTTAGAGGCTATTTAACGTAGGGAATTTTAGGGGTTTGAGCAGTTTATTTAAGAAAGAAATATTATTTTTTTATTTCTGTAATATACAGTGTCCCTGAATTGGGTTTAAAACAGGAAAAAAAAATTATCTTTGATTTTACACCAAAACTCCAAAGGAATAACATTTTTTGTTTAACCTGAAACGAACAAATCTGTAATTAAAACCTCATTATTCTGACTCAGTGGAAAGAAAAGTTCATTTCTCTCTTGTTTTGGACCTGTAATAATTTTTCTCAGCTTTTTAAATCCCACCACATTGGCGGTTTTATTTTCTGATGTCACTGACAAATGACTTACGCAAGTTAAATAACAGAAATGTTTGTGAAAAACATAACTTTAATAAATAGCAATTCAAAGAAACAGCCTTAAGATAAAAAACAAAGTCATTTTTAACAAAAACAATCATTATTCAATTAATTAATTAATTGTCAAAATAACATCGTTTGTCAAAAAAGTTCCAAAAGTCAAGGTTAAGCAAAAAGTGCTATTCTTTTGAAGTTTTGACCTAAAATAAAAGATTTTTTATCCTCTTGTAAACTCAATCCGGGAACATACTGTATAAATGTGGAAAAAAACGGTTTCAAATATAGTGATATTTGTTTAATTATTTTATATGCCGTTATTTATTTTTCTTTTTTTCAAGAGTTAGGTATAAAGAAATAAAAGTTTGATCCTCTCTTTAAATATAGCTTTAAATTAGTCTTGAATTGTATTTTACTTTAAATATACAAAAAGGGGCCGTGAAGAAAAATATTTTTGGAAACTTAAAGCAAATATTTTTCATTTATCTTAATGATAATACTAAAACTTAAATTATTGTAAAAAAATATTGAACATTTGAACGGTTCTACCACAACTTTTACTAGATGCACAAGTTGCCCTAGCTTAGATAAATTTCTCTCAGATACAAAATTTTACAAAAGGGTCGAACCACCGCTATGTTGTGGCTTCTAATTTTATTTCGCCACATTTTTTTTCAAAATATGTAAAATTGTAGCAATGATTTCAGAAATTTATCTTATTTATTGGCTATTGCACGCATATTTCTTATTTTTTATGTAGAAAAATGCCGAAAAGCGCTGTTTTCCTTCGTTGTCCCTCTCGTTCGCTTTGCTTTATTTGCAGGCGCCTGTTGTATATTCGTGTCGGTGCTAGTTAACATTCTCCCGTGTCCATCCGTTGATTTACTTCTTTTCGGCATCTTTTCCAAAAATGCGTCCTTCTAGTCGTTCGCGGGGAATCCGTCTCAGCTTCTCGGAATGCATTTTGAAGAGTTCGAACGCGTGCTGAATATTAACTTGGAAACAATGCCGTGGAATTCGCTAATAGTTTCGGGCAAACATGCCGAAAAATACGGTCCGGGATGCTCCACCGGATTATTGTATTTTAATTTCCGTCGAGCGGGTGTAATAAATGGTCGCCGTGCGCTGATTTTTTCCTTTCTTCGCGGCTTATTTATGACGATCACGTTCCAATTCGCCAACTAGACGAAGGCCAGACGAACTACAGTTATCCGAAAGGAATTTCGAAAATTTCGGCAAACAAAGCGAATTTTCGCGGCTGAAAATGGCGACGAGGCCGGGACTGGCGACGAGGTATTTCGGTAGCACAGGTAAATGCAGGCGAGAAATGGAGTAAGGACTTGTATAAATAGGATTTTTCCAGTGGCGTGCTCGGGAACCTTGGAAAAAATAAATAAATAAAAACAACTAACCCAATTTTTTAAGGGGGCTAAGTATAGGCAGCACCTGTTGGGCATCGAGTCCAAGAAAAACACATAAAAAAATATTTTTTGCATTGGGAAAAAATAAGGGAAAATTTGCGGTACGTTTAATATTGAGAAATCCGTAAACACCACATGCATAACAACAGAAAAAGTTGAAAACCGTTTCGCCAAGATGTTATTACACAAGAAATTTAAATTTAGTGCTGTTCACAGTTCAGGATAATTCGGTCATTTATTTTCCTTTGAGATTAGGGAGTGACTGAAAAATGTTCAAATTTCTCATTTAAAATTTGGTAAGAGTATTAATTAAAATGCGGAAAGAGCAAACGAAAATCAAAGGCCAGAAGTATGCTGCTGTATTACGAAAGAAAAAAAAAACGATTTAATAAAATAACAATTTACTTATAGAATTTTATTTGGTCAATTTTATTTATTTTGTTGATAGTTTTAATTGTAGTTATTATTGAGAACGGTAGAATTTTTGATAAAAAATGTTAATGTTCTTAGAATCGAGCCCTAACTTTTCTGGTTTTGCTTAATTCAAAAAATATTTTTGCAACATTTATTTTGTGTAACTAAAACAGATGGGTTTTTAAACAAAATGTATTTGTTTTTCAGCTACGAAGCCTGTTACGATTAACACGAAGGCCTCAATATACAAAGTCAAACAACGAAAATACGTGTGTAAAGTAGATGGTTTCCCCATTCCCATAATCCTATGGAAGCGAAACAACACGATACTCCTCCACAACACGTCCTTCATCCAGATCATTCAGAAAAAGTAGGTAAAGTTACATCCTGATTTGGAAGCTTTTCGCTTTGTTAAACTTCATCAATACCCGATTTTAATTGGCATTTTTTTCCACTCTCTTGTCAGTGAGGGAAAAGATAGGTGAGTGGATGAGTGAGCCACCTCACGATGAAATTTTTGCTCCGCGACGCATGCATGCGCTTTTTGCTTCTCCTTTGCACTTTCCAAGGGTGATTTTTGTTTTTTTCAGGCGAAAAATTAGTACTCTGAAGGTTCTTCGCGGTGACACGGGTCAGTACACGTGTGTGGCGAAAGCAGCGAATGGACAGGAAACTTCCTATGTCATCAGCCGCTCGACGTCGAGGCCAAAGACGCACACGTCCTCTGGGTCTAGGAAGCACACGACCTCCAGGCCCAAGACTTACAGACCCTATGGGTCTGCGAAGCACAGGACCTTCACGCCCACAACGCTCACGACAGCCATGCCTGGTATCTATACAAGCGTTATATATTTAGGGACTTCACTCGTACCCGTACTAACTATTTTGATAACACGATTATATCAAGAAAGCGTTATGCATCCAACAGCATTAGTACAAATGGATTGTGTAAAAATTTATAGAATTTGATGTTAATTTCTAAGGAAGCAAACATTGAGTTTTCAGAAAAAAATTCCTTTCCCAATTTAGTCTATGGTCTAATCTTATGTGTTTTATCTAAAAGTCGCCTAAAAGGAACTGTTCGGTGGCTGCATGGCAACATATGCCGAAAGCAAAAACAATAATAACAACAACAACCCGTAGGTCCTGATAGTGTGTTCGCGGGATTACAGTTGCTTCCTGTACTCAGGAAAAAACTAACAAATTCATGAAAAAAAAATGGTTTGATTCTTTAAATTTTCATGTTTTGGTAAATGTGAAGCTATCGTTTTATTTTCAGCTAGGAATAGATTAATTGCCAGAAAAAAATATGGGAAATTTACCGGGAATAATTTTTTTAAAAAACTGTTTCCTTTTTCTATTTTATTGTTTAAGTATAGTGCTTTTAAAATTGATCAAAAAACACGTGACTCTTGGCAAAAATAATTTTAGAGATTTTACGGTCATGTAAATGGAACCAAATAGAAAACGAAAACTATATTTCAAATAAAAAAATACACTTGGACACTTTTAGAGATTTAGGAATATCAAGTTTTATTATTATTATTTTTCGAACAATTTCACTTATTCTTTTATTTATTTTTCAGTAGTAGAGTAAGAGCCTGCGGTCGCCAGACCTTCGTCATTTTATAAAAGCTGAAAATTTGTCAGCGCACACTACAGTTGGAGACAAAATACTTTGGTCGTCACTTTTCTGTCACTTTAATATAATTCAAGCTTTAACGTTAAAATAAATGGCAATTTCAAATTAATGACAGCTATTATATCTTTCTATCAAAAATATGTACAACTTGTCAACTATGATTGACAACAGCTAAAAATAAGGTTAACAGTCCTAAAGCATGCTTTACAATTTAATGTCACTCAAATGACATTGACGACCAAAGTATTTTGTCTCCAACTATACCAACACATGTAGAAACGATGGGCAAGAATGAAGTTTGGGTCGCCGTGGCTTTGGGAGATAACAGGTAGCAAAGAAGTAAAAAATACCAACTTCAATTTAGCAAATAAAAAAGCGTAATTTTTTTATATTTTACCTCCGGCCAGACAAACATATAGGGTAGCTATAGGCTTCCTATGATGATACTTTGTCAAAACTGAATCACATTTATTTAACTTAAAACTTAGAACTTAGCACTTAGAACTGTCAAAACTATCTGGCTAATGAGAAAACATCTTCTAATAGTTACCCATGTAACATGTATAAAATTCAGCTTTTACACTATAACGTAAGTACAGTTACAATTTATTAAAGTTTAAGGGTGTCTGACAAGGGGTTGCCACGAAGTTAAGTGTCTGGCAATGGATGAGGTGATGTCTAATATTATTCAGAAGAAAAAAAAATGCGCTTTTTTATTTAATAAATTTAACTTGATATTTTTTACTTCTTTGTTACCTGTTATCTCCCAAAGTCACGATAAACCAAACTTCATACTTACCCATCGTTCGTACCTGTGTTGGAAGTATGCGCTGATAAATTTTCAACTTTTATAAAATGACGAAGGTCAGGTGACCGCGGGCTCTTAGACTATAGTGTTTCATTATTTATCAAAAAATTTCAGCCTATTTTATTATTTATTCAGGGGTTGTAATAGATACTTTGTTGTATAACTGGTTGCATAACTTACAATTTGCAATCAATATGTTTTTTGTTTACGAAACAAATACAAAACTTGAAAGAATTTCTTATGTTATCATTTTCTAGTTAAAAAATATCAGAGTATGTTTGGTTACGGTTTTTTAAAACTTAATTGAATAAAATCAGTGTACCGATTTTTTGAAAGGGATTATAAATACAAATAAACAGTTGTTTTTACTACTTTTACTAATAATAAACGTATAGGGAGTGCCAAGAGCTTATATTATTTTCGTTGATTTGAATTAAAAAATTAAATAAAAAAGTATGAATTGATTTTTAAATTTTACAGCCAATGAATATTAATAACTAGATTTAATCAAAGACCTAGTAACTAACTACCCAAACCTTTTTGCTTTATTTTTAGCAATTCAAATATACAAGTGTTTCAAATAATTTTACGAAGTTCGTCGGACCAAAAAATTGTGTGTACTACACGGCCAGAAACTGTTTTGCATGTGTTTGCACTTTCAAGATGATACTTTCTGGCGTTGTGGCACAAATAACTATGTATTAATTGTTATTTTTGTAAATCCTTGATATTGGCTACCAAATTAATCATTATTTCATTAAAGAGTTTTTAAAATAGCTACTTTAAGGTCGAGGCGACGAAGGAGCCGAGTCTTTAATTAGAGGAGTCCCCTAAAACTATTTACGTATGTGTTGTACGCAAAATTTTTCTGGACGAATTGGGACGAAATCTTTAAATATGTATCTACAGAACATTTCCGAACATCATAGTCAGTTTTGAGATGGTATCGTTATTTAATTTATCTCGTAACACATTATATTACATATTTTATTGTTACATTGTATATGATGTACTGAGCGATTAGTGATTAGCACAAGTCGTTTCGCTTTACACAAAGAAAGTGCGAAAATATTGTTGGTCCTTTAATCCGCGACTCGTTGCCAAAAGTGCATCGCATCGCGAAAAATACGTGAATAATAATCTCGTCAAGCGCCACCCGTATTACACAATCCTATTGGCACTTTGACAGGTCGTACACACTCCCATAAACAAAATCGGTTGTGTGCGCGTTGCCAAAACGTTGGGTCATCTAATGCTTTTATGTAATCGCGAATCGCGCAAACTTTTCGAATTTTACAAACGATTTTTCTGTTTGCAGGAGAACCCTGCAAGGGCAGGCTAAAAGAAGAGTTTTGTTATAATGGGGGCACTTGTTTTTCTACGCTTGGTGAGAATGACTGTATGTAGGTATTAAGAGGCGGCGGTGAGTCAACACCGCCGACAGATGGCGTCGTGCATCTAGCTCAAATTACACCGACTTTTCTGATTTCAGATGTCCTCAAGGGTACACGGGTCATAGATGTGATCGAAAGACGTCCAATAAAACCAGTATGTATCGACAAACACCTAGATACACTTGTAAGATAGGCCTCTATACGAAATACGATGATTGCTAGAGAAATTATTCCTTTTTTACGAGACGAGAGTTCGTGGTGGACTTGCGCCCGGGATTTAAATGATTTTTAGTGGATTTTTTAACATCGATGCTGTGTAAATTAACTTGTTACCGTTTGTACATACACTTATTGAGGGATGAAAAAAACTCCACTGTATATTTGTAAACTATCCTAATGTATAAGACTGTTAAAAAGCGTACGTTTCTTCTGTTTTATGTAGACAGTCATCTATCAATCATTAAGATAAATTAATGTCCACAATGATCTACGTGGAGTTCCAGGATATGAAATTCAAAGTTTCATGACTAGAAGTTGGTAGCAATGAAACCCGACGAAATTAAACCCTATTCTTTAGGGCGTAGATTATTATCGACATTCATTTACCCACTTTATACCTGATATCGAATTCGTCATGATTAAATTTGACCGTAAAAATCGATTTGGATTTCAGGTAAAAAGCAATGTACCTATAAATATCAGGGACCGACATTTTACTTAATTTTTGTATAAAGTCATGTAGATATATTTATTTATTACATCTATACTCACAACAAAATCTTAAAAATCTTTATTACAAATTCTAAAAAAATAAAAAAATTGTTGTAAACTTATTAATAAACGATGAAAGAAAGGATGTAGTTTTTTACTATTGGTTTGACCCTATCTGGTACATTGGGGGGACAAAAGGACTCTCTAGTGGATAAAAAATTGTAAAATTAGGTATGTAATAAATTTTGCCTGCTCTCTGTTATTAACCAATTCTTTAATAACTATTTACTAATAACTCTCGAAATTTAATTGACTGTTAGATTTGTTGTGAGTTTCAGATGTCTCTAACTCGCATGTCCCTCTTATTAAATAGCAATTATGTAGATGTATTAACACAAAACCTCTCAACTACCGAGGAAAACCGATTCTTGACACGACTATACGTTTCCCTTTATGTTTCAGACAAAAAAACGCCAGACTCGGTAAGGCAGTGTTTATTTTTTTGCACGTTTCTGCACTAACACTGTGTAGTTTAGAGGGTGTGTGGTTTCTAAACGCCAACTGCTGATGACTCGATAATAGTGTTTGATTTGTTTCAGGATGAGGCATCGGAAAAGAGCGACAAGGCTGGATAACCCTATACCAAAGAAATTTGCATTACAGAGGATGTAGATACTCGTTTTAATTTATTTAATTTGAAGAAAAACGCACAATGTTGTAGTCGATGTGTAATAATTTTTTATCATGTTAGCAACAATGTTATATAAATCTCAGTGTTGTTAAAGATACTCGCATATTGTGATAACGATAAATGGCGCTATTAGTTGAGTGAAAACTTAGAAGTTTAGGTCGAAATCTTGAACCATTTGTCGTGACTGTAGTTAAGTTTTATATGCTTGAAAAATAAAAGAAATGTTACTTCTTTTATAAACTTTATTAAGTATAAATATATTTAAATAAACGCAAAAAGGTTTTCTTGGTATAAGTTTATAACCTAGTCCTAAAATATTCTGATGTGTTTTTAGAATTTCAAATTTTTTGTTAAAAACCTTCCCAAAAAGTATTATTATGGTATGGTTATAAATGGTTTAGAAACTTTGAGGCTATAAAAACAGAGAATATTTACTAAATGCTAACTAATTGTTTTTCTAGAAACATAAAACCAATTTAATGTATTTAAAATTGAAGAAATGTTAGAATATTCCCTTTTCACTGATTTTTTAATAATTTTCAATAATTCACAGCAGTATTGCTGTGAAAATTAAAAATTATCTAACGTAAAACATTGGTAAATTTACTACATCCTACAAATTCAAATCACTTTCACTTTATACTTAAGCCTAATCTTCATTCTTATAAGTTACGACCGTATCCATTTTGTGTAAATTCGTTGAAAAAGATCGCATTTTAACAGACTGTGCATTCTTTACATGCGCTGCTTGAGCCTCAGTCCACTCTCCAGGCAAATCAACATCACTTTTTGTATAAATTTGTATATCAAAGCTACATAAACAGTCTAATAAAGGCAAGTACGCAACAGACGATGCTATTTGTTTCAAAACATCCCTAATCTCATTTTTTATAATTTTTAACGGCTTTTCTGACACGGGCCCCCCAGGTTCGTCCGCATTCCCCTCATACTCAACATAGAAATCCCACCGTTCCATTACCTCCAGCGTTTTCACGTTCGTTATAATCATAGCGATCCTCGTAACGCACCTTTGCAACAGCCATTCTGAAAATAACACCAAATTAGACAAAAAAAAACACACCGCCGATAATCCTAACCTTTCAATTGTGATAAAGTCGTCGAGAGAAACTCTTTGATCTTGTTATCGGTGGACATGAGAATCGTCAAACCATAATTTTCCACACTTTGAAAATTTTCAGGCGGATACAGCCCCCGTTGAAACAAAATTGAATTTATTCCGAAATCTACAAAACACAACATAACCTCACATTTTACAATTGGGGAAAATAATACTTAAATAATCACAAACGATATCTGCAGAGCCTTTCAAAGTAATCGCAGATTTGTTTTTTTGAGCCACTCCGGACATTGTGGGGCTGTTTAATGCACTTGAAATAATAATTTAGCGGCAAAAACGTAACGGTAAAATTCAAATTTGAAATATTTTAATTTGAAACTGTCAAATGTCAAATGGTTTAGTGAGTTTAGTTACTTCTGCTACAGTTTGAGCAAGTGTGCCAACTGAAACAGATGTAAACAACTTCGAGAACCCTTCCAGAATTTCTGTCGGCATGAAACGGAAATTTGTTTTATTCCAGAATATTCCAGGATTTATATGATGTTATGGAAAATCACACAAAAAAATTTAATAATTTTACGCTAAAATAGCGTGCCTGAATAGAAAAAATTAAGAACGAGGCAAAAAAAATGAATAAATCATGTTTTTGCTAGTTTTCTAAAAGAATATTTTTGTTTTTTGTATTGCTATAGCTAAAGTATCAATTGCTGTACATTTTAAATCAAAAATAATTTTAAATTAACAAATGATTTGATAAATAACCATATTTTGGAAAACCCACGTGTTTTTTTACTAAAACATCATGTAAACGTTTTATACAAAAAAGGACACAAAACGCTTCAGTCGATTGTTTAAAATAAAATTTAATTGGATTTAGACGCAAAATTTAACATTAAATAAAAGATTTTGAACACTAATTGCTAAAAAATTACACTTTTAATTTTTTTTCGACATTAACTATAAGCAGTTGCACCTAATTTAGGTCATTTTAAACATCTAAATGTTTTGACTAAATAGGTATCATTTAATTAAAACGAATTTTTCTAGAAAAATCAATAATGGTATTGCCACATTCGAATTTCGCGCTCGATTTAGCGGAAGTAACTAATGTTCTATCCTTGTCTATAGAAGGTTTAGAAGCGTCAAAAAGCGCCTAGATTCTTCTCGAATAGTCTAGAACGCAGGAGGCTATATAAGCAACCGAACAAACACGAATCGCTCAGAGTTGAAAAAGCAAGCGCTAAGTGAAGAGTTACAAAAGCGATAAATTTTCCAAAGCGATTTTTTAAAGTGATTTTTGAGTGTGTGCATTAATTTAAACAAGGTAGGTGCGAATTTTCCAGGTTTTCCGGTTGTTTTGAGTCAAGGTTAAGTCATGCCGGTGTTTGACCCCTAAAGCGTGGAAAATCGGTTTTAAAACGATTTTACCGTTGTTGCAGTTATTTGAAGCGAGATTAACGACCGCTTATCCATTTTTTCGAGTTTTTGTGTAGTTTTCTCATACGGGTAAAAGATGCCGGTTTATGAGCTTTTATTCTAAATAACAGCAAAATTCCGGCCTTTTCCACGTTGTTACAACTTTAATCTATTTTTGATTAGTCATTTCTTCGTGATTCATTACTCGGAAATAGTCATCAAGCTGAGTTCAGTGAAATTTCAAGGTCGTATTTTTGTTGCAGATGCCTGAAGAAAACCAGAATGGAGATGTCGAAACCTTCGCCTTCCAGGCGGAAATCGCCCAGTTGATGAGTCTGATCATCAACACCTTCTACTCAAATAAAGAAATCTTTCTCCGGGAATTGATTTCTAATTCTTCAGATGCGTTGGATAAAATCCGTTATGAGTCCTTGACCAATCCTTCTAGACTAGATTCGGGCAAAGACCTCTACATCAAGATCATTCCTAACAAAAATGACGGGACCTTGACCATTATTGATACCGGTATCGGTATGACTAAAGCCGATTTGGTTAATAATTTGGGTACCATCGCCAAATCCGGAACCAAAGCTTTCATGGAGGCCCTTCAAGCCGGTGCTGACATCAGCATGATTGGTCAATTCGGTGTTGGTTTCTATTCGGCTTACCTAGTCGCTGATAAGGTCACAGTCGTGTCGAAACATAACGATGATGAGCAGTATGTTTGGGAATCTTCAGCTGGAGGTAGTTTTACCGTGACACTAGACCGAGGCGAACCGTTGGGCCGTGGCACCAAAATTGTCCTTCACATGAAAGAAGACCAAACTGAATTTTTGGAAGAACATAAAATTAAAGAAATTGTGAAGAAACACTCTCAGTTCATTGGATATCCGATCAAATTGGTTGTGGAGAAAGAACGGGAGAAGGAATTGAGCGATGATGAGGCCGAAGAAGAGAAGAAAGAGGAAGAAGCTGAAGATAAAGATAAAGACAAACCAAAGATTGAGGATGTAGGCGAGGATGAAGATGAAGATACCAAAAAGGAAGACAAGAAGAAAAAGAAAACAATTAAAGAAAAATATACAGAAGATGAAGAATTAAACAAAACCAAGCCGATTTGGACCAGAAATGCTGATGATATTAGTCAAGAAGAATATGGGGAATTCTACAAATCGTTGACTAATGACTGGGAAGATCATTTGGCCGTCAAACATTTCAGTGTTGAAGGTCAATTGGAGTTCCGTGCCCTCTTGTTTGTTCCACGTCGCGTACCATTCGATCTCTTCGAAAACAAAAAACGTAAGAACAACATTAAATTATACGTCAGGAGGGTTTTCATCATGGACAACTGCGAAGAACTCATCCCTGAATATTTGAACTTCATTAAGGGTGTTGTCGACTCGGAAGATTTGCCTTTGAACATTTCCCGTGAGATGTTACAACAAAATAAGATCTTGAAGGTTATTCGTAAGAATTTGGTGAAGAAATGCTTAGAATTGTTCGAGGAATTGGCCGAAGATAAGGACGGCTACAAGAAATTCTATGAACAATTCTCCAAGAATATTAAATTGGGTATCCATGAAGATTCGCAAAACAGGGCCAAATTGTCTGAATTGCTCCGTTATCACACTTCTGCAAGTGGCGATGAGGCTTGCTCTTTGAAAGAATACGTGAGCCGCATAAAGCCTAACCAGAAACACATCTACTACATCACTGGTGAAAGTAAGGAGCAAGTGGCCAACTCGTCGTTTGTTGAGAGGGTCAAGAAACGCGGTTTCGAAGTCGTTTACATGACTGAACCCATCGATGAGTACGTCGTCCAACAGATGAAAGAATTCGATGGCAAAACCCTTGTCTCAGTTACAAAGGAAGGTCTCGAATTACCTGAAGATGAAGAAGAGAAGAAGAAACGTGAAGAAGACAAAGCCAAATTCGAGGGACTTTGCAAGGTGATGAAGAGTATTCTCGACAACAAGGTCGAGAAGGTCGTGGTGTCGAACCGTCTAGTCGAATCTCCATGCTGTATTGTGACGTCACAGTATGGTTGGACTGCCAATATGGAACGTATCATGAAAGCCCAAGCTTTGAGAGATACATCCACCATGGGTTACATGGCCGCTAAGAAGCACCTTGAGATCAATCCCGACCACTCTATTATCGAGAATTTGAGGCAGAAGGCCGAGGCTGATAAGAATGACAAGGCTGTTAAAGACTTGGTCATCCTTTTGTTCGAGACTGCCTTACTTAGCTCTGGTTTCACCTTGGATGAGCCACAAGTCCACGCGTCTAGAATCTACAGAATGATCAAGTTGGGCTTGGGTATTGATGAAGAGGAAGCCATGATTACAGAAGACGCACAAGGAGGTGATGCACCCTCTGCTGATGCTGCCGAGTCGGAAGACGCGTCTAGGATGGAGGAAGTTGATTAAGTGTTCTGATGTTAGGACATGTGTTCTAGTATGTTCTAAATGTCATTCCTAGTGTTTTTTTTTTATATTTCTAATTATTTTTATAAAAAATGAAGTATTATTTTGGCGGCCTGTTGCCGTGTTAACACCTGTTAAGTCTGATTTCGTTTTTTGTGAATAAATTATTGCTCTAATAAATTTATTGGTTTTAATTAATTGCTCTAGAACCTAAACTAAAAAGTGGAACGTGAGAAGGTTTTTATTTTTTATCACGAAAAAGTGGGATTATGTCGGAAAATGGGCGTGGCTTTTGCAAAGTAAACTCAACGTGACATCATATTTGACATTTGACAGACGTGTTAACCTCAAAAATGAACTCAGATGAGAAAAACAAGAACCAAAAGCCGGCCCCGACAGGTAAACACTCATAAAACCAAACTTTTGTTCCAATTTTCGGTTTTTAGACGACCCGGAATGCATTTATCGAATTTACAACGTCTTATCTTATTTCATAGTCCTCGTAGTGATCGGAATCCCGGTTTGGTGGTACACCACCCGTGTCTACAGGGCGAGTTTGCCCCTCGACCGCATGTTTGACGTGACCCTTGCTAACAAAACCGATAAACATTTTGGAATCCCCCTCAGTCTCGAATACGACGTCCTGATCACAATTGTTAACCCCGACCCCGAGAATTTACACGTGGACCTCGCAGGCGAGGACCTCGATGCGAACCTCCAACCCTTCCTTTCCAAAGTGTCCCCAATCGCGGATTTTATCGTTAAGTCGCAGTGGCTGTATTTAACCGAATTGGGGGCCATCCCGCGCAAAATCATTGACAAGTATGTCTTGTACGAGGAGCAACTACCGCACGTTATAACCCCCCTCGAAAAGAAACTCTGGTCCCACCTGTCGCCCCGGCCATGCTTGAACCTCGTCTTATACGTCTCACACTGCAATGTACCCCTATTTATAAGAAACAACCGCGACGAAGACACCGCCAATGCGTTTTTCAGCCCCCGCTGGGGTGGCATTTTCATCATCAACCCTGATCAAGATTCTTGCGATGTGAAAAACTTCAAACCGGATGTGCAACTCATTACGTCAACTTTTGTATCCCAATTAGGCAAAATGCTGAAAATGGGGGGTACTACCGAGGGGGACGTTCAAGAATTAATGAGACGTAAAGCCGAAGATATGGTGGATTCAACCCGGAGGACGCTAAAATCTTTAGCCCAACTCTTATCAGAAATAAACAGTATTGTGATAAGCGACGATGTAGCTCTAAAGATACAAATCGCAGTGGATAATGCTGATGTTGCCGAAGACTTATTGAAGAAAAATGAGATTGAAAATGCATTAAATTTCGCCAAAATTGCATTTAAAAATGCTGAAGCCGCTTTCAGTGACCCGTCTTTACTGGCTTTGCTTTATTTCCCGGACGATCAAAAGTGAGTCCATTATCAGTTGTTTCCCGTAATTCACTTGTTCTTTTTATTTCAGGTACGCTGTTTATATCCCTCTTTTCTTACCTGTAATGATTCCAGTACTGATGTCTCTAATAACCGTGAAAAAATGGTACAAAGACAAGAAATTAAAGACTGATTAATTTTTATTAAAAATAAAAAAAAACAACTACACAAAATCATTTTATTTATTTTTATATACAGTTATTACAAAAGAAAACTAACGGAAATAATTACCGTCTGTACAAGGTGCTAATTGCCCTATAAAAATATTCATTTCCAGTGTGAATAATAAATTATGACTAAATTAAGTAAGTAAAGTCTGTTTCAAATTGCTGACGACATTAAACGTACAAAAAAATCACACTATATTTAGTTGCTTAGTAACAATTCTGTTATGTAGCAACTATTTCACAAATGTGACCTTGATTGTCCACAGCAATTCGTAACAACTACTAAAGTGAAAAAATTACACAAACTAAAATAATTCGTTTTCGGTAAGTCCAATAAAGCCACTCACTTAATCGATTTTAACAGCTGAATAGATTTTCCGGACGAATGCATACGCCGCAAAAAATCCGATCGTTCCAGTGAGCAACCAAAACGTCAAAACCATGAGTCCAGTGTATCCGAAATACAACAAAGTCGGTATAAATTCAGTTATTTCTAATTTCGTTACAAAATAAAACAATGAGTAGCCCATAATGTGCAAAGCCGAGCCGCCGGAAACGATGAAACTTCGCCACCACCAGTGATAATCCTGCAAACAGGGGTTACGACTTATATATGTTATTTTTTCTATTACCTCGCCGCATAATTGGAAATAGACCATAACTATGGAGATTTGAGAGCACGAAATAACTAATATGATAAACACCAAAAACAAAAATCCAAACAGGTAGTAAAATTGGTTCTCCCAAATTGCCGTAAATATAAAAAACAGCTCGATAAACACGGCACCAAAGGGTAAAATCCCGGCCATTAAAGTGCTGAAAATTAATTTTAGAGATTTTCGTGTTCGTTTATGGGGAATTATCGTCACTTACCACAGAATCGGGTTCATGTACCAATGCTGGTCCGGCACTTGTCGCGGAATTTGATTGGTCCGGACCGGGTGTTGGTAAGGCTGTTTCCTGTAACCGAAATAGTATCCCAAGTATACCAACGGTAGAGAAATGAAACACCACATCGTTAATAATGAAATCATCGTTGAAAATGGGACAGCCCCGCTAGAGGCTTTGCCCCAAATAAAAAAATTCAAGAAAAAGCAAGTGGTGGCAACTATGGCTGGATACAGGGTAGCAGTGAGGAAAGCCGCCCGTTTCCATTCGCGCCCCTTCATGGTCTTGTAGAGACGCGCCGAGAAGTAACCAGCAACCAGACCCATGAACATGTAGAGAAAAATGGCCGCTGTGGTCAAGGCGCCTCTTGAAGCGGGCGAAAGCATACCCAACATGGCGAAAACTGGAAGAAATGCATTAAATGTGATTTAGTCAATGGTTTGAAATAGTACAAAGCGTGATCAAAGCCATCAGGAAAATCTGAATTCCAGACCCAACGACTGCAGCAAATAATCGCGAGTTTTTTGGAGGTCGGAAAACGTCTCCATGGACTAGTTTCCAGCCTGTTTCTTCAATTGTCTCATCGAAACTCTCGTCAGCGTTATACTTGGCAATATCTCGCCGCAAAGTCCGTACCATAATCATCGTGAGAATCCCCGACAGAAAGAAAATTACAACAATGGAGTTTATGATCGAGAACCAGTGGATCTGGACGTCGCTCATTGCGAGGTATGTGTCCCACCGTGACGCCCAACTAATTTTCGAAGGCTCCCACACGACCTCATATGTGAAAAATAACTTTGTGCCAGATGTGGGGTCTACTAACTGGGGACGCGGCTTATTGGGGAATATGCACGTCTTATCAATGAATTTCACGCCATCCATGTTTATCGATTTGGCCTCTACGTGGAACCCAACAACGCGGTAAATTTCCCTACATAATTTTTTTATAAACGGAAACGGGGGGCCTGAAATTGGCTACTTACGGGGTAGGGTTGTGGTACAACAAAGTGAGTTTGAGATGATTATTTATGTAAGTGCGATCACCGACAGAATTACCCAACCTATAGCCGTGCTCATACTGAATTTCGTTCGTCTCGGGGTTCAAAACTGGCGTAGCCGCCGGCAAATTATCCACCAATCTAGAATTATCACAATTCATAACTATAATAACTATAAAAATAGGTTTCGACATACAAGTGGACGAAATACTCGTGTTGAATTCGATCGACTATAATCTGGGACTCCCCCACACTCCAATTAATCGGATCTTTAGGGGAGTTACACAACAGCGTACATGGCGTATTCACCGCCATTTTTACGTCGTACGGCGTGTTGACAATCCTGTCGCCCCTCAGTACCTCCCCCAGATTTTCAGATTTGTAGTGTATAGAATTTAGACCCCCTTTCGGCAAACAAAACGGAAGAGAGTAATACTCATATGGCAACTGCGTGTGGATACTCGTCATTTTTACAGCCTTGACTTCAATCGGGTCGCCCTGTTTGAAATCGGCCGGTGCCATCCCCGGAACGTAAAACGTATAACATTTCGAAATGCAAATTATTACAAACAGAAGAAATTGCTGGAAAAATTGAGGTTAGGTCAGATCACAAAACCTACAATTAAATACCGTATAAATCATTTTGGAGCCACGTTACGGGTGAAATGTAATAATTTTCGACGTTTGGACTGCTAAAATAGTGAAATAATCATTGTAAATCAATTTAAAACTGTGCTATTATCGCCGATGAACCACCAACAAATTTTGACAACTCTGACGTCACAAACGTCAACTGTATGTATGGTTGCTGACAAAATGAAACATTTTTTTTTCTAAGATTTAATAAAAAAGTTTGTTTGCCTAACTCCTGAAAAATGATTTCTCACACCACTTGTTTAATAATATTACACACAAATATGATAATACGCTTCAAGTGATTCGATTAATTAAAATATATTGGTGTATTATTGGTTGCCTATTTATGTAATAACACAAAACTTTTAACATATTTATAATGTTGGAGTTCTTCTGTACCAAAACCTAGCCCGAAAATCGTCCGAGCACGTCAAAAACGCGGCTTGAGTTGGGCTATGCGCTATTAGTCTAACCGCCCCGTTGTGTCCCAAAGACATCAATTGCTTCCTTGAGGCATTCCTCGAATTCCAGGCACACAACGATGTCGTTGCTTCATCAGGAAACAGTACGTAATCCTCAGTGTGATTAAAAACAGCTTGGGCCTCATATTCCTGTTTTCCGGTCGTCCCAGCTCCCGTATAAGCAATCAAACATCTGCTTGTGGTTAACTCCCATAATTTACAAATTGAGTTTTTCCCCGACGATAATAAATATTTGCCGTTTTTCGAAAATGCGACTGAACAAACTTCAAGACCGTCGTGTGCTTTTTGGAATGTGTTTATGCAACGATTTGAAACTGCGTCCCACAGTTTGATATTGCCGTCTTTACTGCAAGTGGCGAATACTCTGGCGTCTTGTGACCATTTAAGACAAGTGACGCTTTGGGTGTGTTGGTGGGAAGGAAAAGCGCAGACGTAGCATTGGAGAGTGTTAACGTCGTAAAGCCGGACAACGGGGTGATTGGTGGCGACAATCATGTGGTCGCCTCCGGGATGAAAAGACATGGCTCTGATTGGTTCAGATTCCTGAAAAAAATACACACACGTTAAAAAATCAACCATTATAAAATTGTACACATACAGAGATTGTTTTAAACGCCTTTTTAACACTGGCTTTAGATATGTCAAACATCTTTATCGTATTATCCTTGGATCCTGACACCAAAATCGGCTCCTTGGGGTGAAACTCCAAACAAGTGACCTCCTCCATATGGTCATATAGCGTCCTAATCACTGGATGCCCTTGTTGTTCCCCCCTCGACGGGTCCATCTCATCCGGCGCCGACTTCGCCAACATTCTGTCAACATCCAAAATCTTAATACTGGCGTCCACACTCCCAGTCGCGATCAACTGCCCATCACTTGAAAAACATCCAGCGCGACAATTCCCTTTATGCGATGTCACATACGCGGTCTCATACAATGCCGGTTCGGGGGCTGGTATATTTGACTCAGTTTCAAACTCGAGATCGAGCCCTGGACCAATATTATTGTTGCCAATGCCGGCATTGTGGGGCCTCTCCTTGCGATCAGGCTCGTGTTCTAACCCAGCGAGGACGATATGAAACAGCCGATCACTGGGAGCACACGGAGGGTCTGCCTGCACTGCGGCTGTGAGACTAGTGCCGATGCTTTGGTGGCCGTCGTAGAAAAGTTGGCTGGAAAAGGGAAAATGAGGTTATGAAGCCAGATTTTAGGGTTTTACCTGATAATGAGACGGTAGAGAAATTCGCGACTCTTGAGGAGGTTTGTAGTGTCGACGTCTTCTTCTTTGAGGCCCGAATTGGTCATTTTCGAGGAATTATTTGAGTTTTTGCGATATTCGTGTTTTGACAACAAATAAACCACAAACAAAGTTGGAGATTTCTGATTTGTTAGATTGGTAGCCACAGAATATAAATAATAAAGAATTTTTTTTCTAAAAAACTCACGTATTTGTATAATTTACTTAATTAATTGCAATATATTGTATTATTATTTGCATTTATTGGGTTGTTTACTACGTATAATAAATTAATTTTTAATTTTTTCAAACTTATTTAGGGATATTTTATTGACCTTGTATGGTAACAAAAAGGGGGCACTTTAAATTGTTTTCGATTTTTTTTTTTGATAAAACTTGAAATCAACAACTCTCTTTATTAAAATTCTTTTACTTTTTTTTAATTTGCTTATTACCGTTTTGTTGAAGAAAGTTAAAAAACTAATGATGAAATGCTGAATTCGAAATCTTTATTGAAAAACTCCCTTAGGCACACACATTGTTAATCATTAAGAGCAATAGATTCTCCGTCGCCAGATCTTCTGCTGCCCAAATCCTCCGAAGCTGAAACTTCGGTTTCAGTTGAGATATCCGGAGTCGAGGCCGAAGACATGGCAGCTGGAACTTTCAATTTAGATTATGTTGATTTTTTTTTAATTTCTCACCTATATCGACTCTATCCATTCTCATTCTATTAAACTTGACCCAATAGTCAACTCTCAAAACATGCAAAATCTTCAAAAACTCGTCGACTTGCAGCTCAGCGACTCTTACAGTTTCCCCGTATATCAGCTGCAGGGCTTTTTTCATCGGCTCGCGCCCGAAATCGGCAAAAGTAACTTCACCGATGCCCGGTTGACTTTCCACCAAGTGCCTAAAATAAGGGCTCCGAGACGTTAAAATGATTTTATGGCCGCAAACACTGCCGTCGCCGCAGATAATCTCAAAATCGAGCAGTTGTCTATTGAGTTCATCTTCAAAATTGAACTTTTGGATTTGAGCACCGTCGGAGTAAAGACCTGCGTTCATCTTGAGCGGCTTTGAAACACTGACGAGGTCGAGGAAGATAAAGTAAGAAAAAAAAGTTTGAAAAAGTCAGATTTGATACTGAGTTTCAGACGGTATGTGAACGTGTAAAAATGTCTGTAGAATTCCATAATTCGATCGAGGAAGTGCAATTAACCGAGAATAATGAAGAAAATGCAGATAAAAATGTGAGTCGCTTATTGTAAATCAAAGTGGTAATAATTTTTTAGGTCCTTTCGTGTGAATTGTGTAATGTTAAAGTCACCAGTGCGAAAATCCTTCAGCGCCATTTGGAAGGACGAAGACATAAAATGAAGGAAGAGAGAAAAGGAAAAACGTTCGTTTGTGAATTGTGTGATGTTGTCGCAAACAGTGAAATTCAACTAAACATCCACTTGAACAGTAAGTCAGAAAAATAATTTTCATTATGTTCAGTGCTTTTGCAGGTATCAAACACAAAAATAAACTGATGAAAAAAGAAAATAACTTCATTTCGGCCTCGACAGGAACCGCTGGTTTATGGATCTTGTTCTTCTGTGTTATTTGTATTTTTATTAACTTATTGTTGCTGTTTAAAGTGATTTGCCAGTAGTTTTGTTCATTGTTACCAAATTTGTATTTACCATTAAATTGTTGAATAATTAAAATGACTTTTTTTAAACCCAAATATATATTTCAGTGAGCAATAACAGTAATATACAAATCAAGTGTTTTTATTTCTATAAAACTAAATCTATAGAAAAAAACACTAACCATAATCACAATCTAATAACAGTCTCAAATAGCCCTTGACCTTACTCGTATAATAATAAATAATCTTAAATTTAATCAATTTCGGGAAGATTCTCCTGAATCCAGTGAAGCGCAGATCTAACATTTGCTAACTTAGCTCTACACAAAAAACTAGAAATTAACAAATACTCCGGATACGTCCTCCTCCCATTCCTTGTAAATTTCTCCCCAAAACTCTTATTATTGATTTTGCCCTCACACAAGACTTTTGTTGTCAAACTCAACAACCACTGCAGAATCTAAAAACAAAACAAATGGAAATTGCTACTACAAAGAAACAAAAGACAATCAATCACCTCGGCACTTGTCGGTACCTTCAAGTCCGGCTTTAACCACGTGCTAGGTGCCCACAAAAACAACTGACAAACGTTGGCCGCAACTTCCGGATCGAGACGCTGTTAAAAATCAGTCTTAAAAAAATCATGTACTAGTATTACCAACCTTATTGGGATTGCGCTTCAAAAGGTTGGCCACCAAAGCTTGAATTATAGTTGGCACCTTCTCGGGCAATTTCGGTAAATCCTCATCCTTATAACTGAAATTTTTCAACCGACTTGGACCATAAAAAGGGTTATGACAGTTGAAAATCTCGTAAGCTATGGCCCCCACGGCCCACAGGTCGGCCTTCGAATAATTTAAGACGCTAAAAGTGCCCGGTTTTTGACAAATGATTTCGGGGGCCATCAGTGCAGTATTGCCACCTTTATCCATTTCATAGCTCGTGTAAGGGAGTGACAAGCCGTTGGTTTTATCAGCGAGACAGCATCCAAAATCGCTGATGACCAAAATGGGGCTTTCTGGTTCGCTCGTGTCTAATAACAAGTTGTCGGATTTTAGATCGCGGTGAGCTATGCCGTGAGCTGTCAAATGTGCCACGCCTTCCAACAACTGAGCAAGTAGGAGGAGCGATGTTCGAGTAGACGGCGCTGTGGAGAGAAAACTCTGCAAATTGCAATCGTAGCGTTTCATGAGGAGGAAAAGCGACATGTTTCGGCCTTCGCCCTCGGGATGGAGTCGCGGTGGTAAAGCCGCAGGGTACAAATCCTTACTGTCCTCCAATTCCTGAATATAATCAGTGAAAACGGAAAATATGGCAACGATGTTAGGATGTGGTGGCAGATGTTTTCGCCGATTGGCCATTTCGATTTCCCAATTGTTCAATTCGTGGTTACTGTAATACAACCTCGCGGGAACTGTTTCTCTATACATGGCCTTAAGAATTTCCATCGAATTGGATTGGATGTCGTAATTGAACATCATTTTCAGAGCATACGGGTATTTGGTGTCGTCGGTTTCATTGTCTTTTACTTTCGCTGAATAAACCACGCCATTGGTGCCTTTTGCAATGGGTTTGCCCAATGAGAGGTCGTTCAAAGTGATCGGATTCGAATCGAATCGGCTTTCGTCGATGTCGTAATACTGCCATTTTATTTTCGAGATGGCTTCGCGAATTTCCCAACAAACACCTTCGAGTTCCTCTTCTTTGGTAAGAATTCCAGTACCGGAAGCTATGCTCACGCCCACAAGAGCAAAAAAGGGGGCAGAGTCACCGAATAAGATCCTGAAAAATAACAAGTTTAGACACGCCCACCGCAAACCACGCCCACAAAGCATATTAAGCAGGCAGTTGAGAAAAATGGTCTTGGTATTGTAAACTTTATAAATAAATCGTGATTTCATAKCTCTAGGCTTAATTATTATATCAGAGATATAATTAACATGAATACAAAAAAAATTAAGCTCGAATTCCTAAAACAACTCTTATCTAAATTTTGTTTACTGAAGTAACAACAATATGTTACATATCGACGTAACTATTAAAACAAATGAACTACCAGCAATTATTCCATAGTAATTAAAAAACAAAGAAAGCCTTGATATCATCATAACTAACATTAACAAAACAGAGCTAATTAAAGCACTTTTTATCCATTTTTAAAAAGCATAATTAAATTAACACCCTGGCTTCTGTAAATTGATAATAATTACGGAGAATACTGGTCAAAAATACACTTTTTCTTTTAAAATGTCACAACCAACTATAATTTTTTATGGATAAAGTTTTTTCCATTGTTTAAGTCCTTACCTTCTGGTGGCTTTCTTCCTTAACTCGGCCGAGAGACTGTTAGTGACTCTGTTAAGCACATTATCGATCAAAATTCGCCTTGCCTGCAGCCCCAATTGGACCCCCACATTTCTCAGCGCAAAATTCTTAGGTATTTGGGTTTTGGGAAACGAAGACGGGGCTGCTGTTGCTTGTGAAACGGCATTTATTTTGTCGCCAATTGTGGTATTAAGATCTCTTTTACAAAATTGTTGGATAAGACTTCTACCATGCTTAAATAAGCGGCTGCCAACAGCGCGTACAGACATTTTGTAACGCAAAGAGGGACTGCACCCTAAAAAGGGTACTTAAAAAACAACACAAATCACACAAGAAATTTGATTTTTTTTAAAGAAAAATTCCGCACTTTGACATTTCGCCCCTTAGAGGCACGACTGCCATATTTATTTTGACACTAGGGGAATTTGGTATTTACAATTTTTAACATACGTCTCTTTTGCTTTCTTATTTACTTAAGCCAGTTAAAAAGAGACAGATAAATTGTTGTACGTCGCATGTGAGGCAAAGTTGCATAAAATTTATTTTTAAATTTTTGCGTCTTAATTATTGTCAATTTTTTGAATAATTCAAATGTTACTCAAATAGGCCAAAACACTGCTTTGCTTTTAAAAGTGAAAAAGTAAAACTTTTAAATAATTTTAGTATTTCTTTCTCAATGTGTAGCTTTTTCCATCACTAGATGGCGCCTTAAATATTAAAAAAATACTTTATAAAAACTTAGTAAAATTAAATTTAGACCGCCCTAGTTTTTATTTTAGGCCCAAAGTAAATAAGAGAAGTGTAATTCTAAATAAAATAATTGCGTAATAAAGGTTACAAGGCGTTTTAGTTTTGTTTCTTGCAGATGGCAGCACATATTGAAAAAAAGAAATAACCGTTATTATTGACAGTTGACATCTGTCAATAATGAATTTAAAATCAGTGATAAAAATCTAAAATCCGCCAAATATAAAGAATTTCCGTTAAATTTTACAAATCACTAGTCATTTATTTATTCACCATGAAGTTGAACCGTTATACCAGATTTATTTTAGTGACAGTTTTACTTTTCTTGAAATCTCGACACGTTGAAACAGGTTTCACCGATTATGTAAAAACAATAGGAAGTTATTTTGTGTTTAAAGAACCCGAAGCTGATTCTGTTGGTGAATTCGTTCAACGAATTCCTTACGAAGTGTCCACAGTCGACGAAAAATTCATATCTGAGGCAGCGAAGCTGACAGGTGTAGCATTATCAGAGCTAGACTCATGCCAGCAAAGGGTAAATATGAAAGAGTTTTGTGTTTCTGACCCTTATATTCTTATCTAACAGGTGGTACTGAAGCTCAGATCTGACTGTGATAAAATGAACGACGAGCAACTGGCAAAAATGGCTGTACATCTACTAAACTGCCAGTCATACGTCGAGGGGCGCCCCATTTTCCCATGCACCGATGACATGAGCATCCGCGACTGCACCAGCAGCATGGATTCAGACACTTGGACGAGCTACCATCTCATGAGTAACCGCGCAAGAGCCGTTTGTTACACCATCAGACAAATGCAATTTCGTGGAATGGCAGAACACACCATAAACAGGCTCATGGACACGGCACGAGACCAACTCAAAACTCTCGGAAAAATCACGGAAAATCAGCAAGATTTGCATAACATTGCGGAACAAACGCTAAACTCGCTAACCCAAGGTCACGAGATTTTAACGAACCAGCAACGAGATATCCAAAGAGCCCAATTTCACGGCCAGTTAGTCATAGAAGACAACATACGCAAATTGTCACAAGAGAAAGAGTTGATCGTTGATACCCACAACCAATTAGTGCAAATGACGCACAAGATACAGCGCAGATTGGAAGATTCAAGCAAGAATCTTGATAAGCAAAGAAGCGAAACGCGCCAAAACCACCAAGAGTTGCTGGAGGATCTTATCAAGATTCAAGATAAGGCGCACGCCATTTTTGAGCGAATCGGTAATTATTTTATTTTAGGAGACGTGTGTCTAAATTTACAAGAAGCCAACCCTCTAAAAACAATTTAGCTGTTCGTTGTCATGATTTAAAATGTCAAATTTTGGTGTTACCAACAAACATGTTTGTTTCAGAGGAATCTTCGCGAATGCTTTTGCAACAAAATGAAAATTTCAAGAATCAGTATGAAGAAACTTTGRGAAATCTCGCTGAAGTCAACAGAACGGTCCACAATCTGGTGTCGTTGGTCGGGGGCACGCGTCAGGCGTTAGAGGAGCGCCTAGTGTGGCTGACGACAGCCCTGGGGGGCACCGACCTAGCCGTAGAGCGTCTCTACCTTATAATATGGCATGCCGCTTTTATCCTAATTTCAATGCTCACTTGCGCCTTTCTTTCCGCGCGACTTGTCACAAGATTAATAGTCGCCACTTTACCCCCTGTCAATCTTGCCTTGGCGCTGTGGGGCAGCCCTAATCAATTGGGGCCCCTGACTCTCCTAGCAACAATTTTGAGTCTAGTGTTAGGTAAGTCTTTGGATTTTTCACTAAAAAAAGTTGCGATTTTATGTTTTAACAGGTCATGTTGTGATGTTTTGGGCTTTAACACTCAAAGTAAATGTTCGGGGGAGACTCCCGTGGCGTAAGGAGCCACAAGTGGAGAAAAAAACGGTAGAAGTCCCCGATATGGATTTAAGTACAAACTTAGAGTCGAACGAGTTGGATGATTTTAATATGAATAGTTTGGGGGCACCGACGCCCCCACATTCSAGAAGCGGGTTTTACCGCCACAGATCACGTAGTAACACTCCTTTGATTTTAAACGGGAGTGCTAGGGGAGTTTGTCACGCCAAAACAAGGGTTGGTACGCCTTGTAAATTGGCAAGCCTGCCGGGGAGGGATTTCTGCTACCGGCACCAAACGGGGGATTCCGTCATGGGATAATTTTAATGATGTGATAATTTTATTTCCGATTGTCTACTATTAAGCCTTATTTAGTATCGTAATGTACAAAAAGTATTTCTAGTCTAGAGTAGGACTGATTTTTTATTTATTTTTTTATTTTTAATACACTGGAATTAATCAATTATTGTACCATTACAGTAACCTGATATGGACCATAAGTTGTTGCAAAAATTTGGCTCATTTTCAAGTAGGTCCGGCGCACGTATTGTCGACGTGAAATTAACAATTTAGTCTGGGAAATCGTTTTATTTTCATGCGTTTCGTCCGTGGAAGCGATAAGATCGATATCGCGCACGCTTTTAAATTCGCGATGTACGCCACTGGCTTAGTTGCCGCGCAAGTGTGAGACGGTGCGTTCGTTTTTCACCTTTACATAACCTACGAACAAGCCGAGGGCGAAATGGACCGKATTTTTGAACAGTAAGTTTTACAAAATTTTCTTCTTTTTTTTTGAAAAATAAGCAGTTGGGCGCGATTTTTTTTACATCGGTATTCAAATGTTTTACGAATGTGTGGGTGCGCTCCCGCGTGCTTGCATTATCAATGTTTTGCTAAATTGTGTAACAGTTTCGTAATTTTATCGGCCTTGGCGCGGGAACAATTAAAGAGCATCAGGTTGATGCACTAGAATAGGATTGCTAAAATAAAGCAGCGATAAAGTTTCATTTTTGGTATTGTTCCCCAAGGCAAAAAAAATGCGAAGGTTTGCGTAAGAGAAACATGTGATTTAGAATGTAAGTTAAGTTTGGAATTTGTAATTTGATTTTAAATAATGATTTCCGGTTTAAAATAGTTTTTTAGGGTTCACAGTGGTTATAAAAATTTTTAATTTTATTTAATGATACGTGTTTTTAAGAAAAAAACGTCAAAGATGAGTTTTAATTTGTTTTAGAAAATGTCACAAAAGTATTTTAATTTTTTTGTTACCATCAATAATAATGTTTTCTCAATTTAGATAGTTTACTATATTGTGACTTTGAAGATTGTTACTAACAAAAAAATTGAGACATTCAAGGGAATTCTCTTATCACAATTACAAGTTTGTTGATAAAATTAATTAAGTAACATATTCAGGAAATGTACTCTTTAGAATGGAATATTTTATTTTTACGAAACCACAATTATTTTAACAAGCAAAAAATCTTCCAGTGTACTTACGAAAATAAACTATTTTTAAAAAGGGTTTTATTTTATTAAATATTCCTCTATAGATATTACATAATACAATAATGAATTTAATCATATTAAATATATATTAAATAAATAATTTTTTATTTTAAAAATAGATATATGATGAAACTACAGAATTATGTATTATATTAATGTACGTTTAATGTAATTAATAATTTAATGTAATTAAGTTAATTTTCTGAAAAACAAGTTTTACGAATCGAGGACAAACTAAGATGAGAATATGTAATTATAACAGATATAAGTACATATAATATTTTTGTTTCAAATGTCTAAAATAGAAAAGAAATAATAATATACCAATCAGATTTTTTTGTTGTTAACTCATTTGTGGTAATGATCTGTTTATTTTATATCTTTTGATATGTTTTCACAGTGACGTTAATGTTTTTTATCACAAGTAAAATGTTTAATCATGAAACATTATCAATGAAACAAGTCATTAAGTTGAAGAGTGTTTTTTATGAAACCTAGACAAGTCTCTTGAGACATAAACTCGTCGATACTACCTACCTTAATTAGAAAAAAACAGATCAATGATTGGATTTGAGGACGTTCTACCTAATGCATAATACATATGTACATATTTACATAAAACATTTGAAAGAGTTTTTTTCTTTGATTTTCCAATCAAAAACTTATCCGTCACCCAACAATCAAACCCGCCCTTGTCACTAGGGCATCTATTTTCAAAATGTCACTTTTCACCCCTCTATTTCTTTATCTAGTTTGTAAACTGGGAAAAATGGCCTCAACACTTGGAAAAATTGCACTGGGTGGCCTCACCACCACCTTAGGTGCCGGCTTTGCAACTTACCTCTTCCTCACAGACGACAAAGACAATCGAGTAGGTATCTGCATGTCCCTTTACCGATTAACTGATTTAAATTTTGTCTCAAGTGGGGCGCCGTCTACGCCCAACACAGCCTCGCTAAGACCAAACGGAATCTTCCGACTCGCGACGAGCAAATAAAATCGTTGCAGAACGACTCTTTCGACGTGCTTGTCATCGGCGGTGGGGCCACAGGAGCCGGTTGTGCCCTCGACGCCGTCACTAGGGGGCTCAAGACGGCTCTCGTCGAAGCTGATGATTTCGCAAGCGGGACTTCTAGTCGGAGCACSAAGCTGATTCATGGAGGAGTGCGGTACCTCCAGAAGGCAATCATGCAACTGGATATTGAGCAGTATAGGATGGTCAAGGAGGCGCTGCACGAACGGGCTAGTATGTTACAGTCGGCCCCCCATTTGGCACATCCTTTACCCATCATGCTTCCGGTCTATACGTGAGTCTGGAGTTGCTATTTTTTTTCGATTTTTTGACCAGGAATTTCTAGGTGGTGGCAAGTTCCGTATTATTGGGTGGGGATTAAGATGTACGATATCGTCGCTGGGAGAAAAACCCTAAAATCGTCTTATCTCCTTTCGAAAAAGAACGCTTTGGAGTTGTTCCCAATGCTTCGGGGGGACAAGCTTTGTGGGGCTATTGTTTATTACGATGGACAACAAGACGACGCTAGGATGAATCTCGCTATTGCTTTAACAGCCACTCGGCATGGTGCCACTGTCGCCAATCACGTTTCCGTAACCGGACTTCTTAAGGAAAAGAATTCCTCCGGGAAAGAGGTGGTGTGTGGCGTTAGTGTCAAGGACGAAATTACCGGAAAAAAATGGAACGTTCCGGCGAAATGCGTCATAAATGCCACCGGACCGTTCACGGATTCCATCCGGAAGATGGACAACCCGGAAGTGAAAACGATTTGTTCGCCCAGTAGTGGGGTCCATATTACCCTTCCGGGGTACTACAGCCCGGAACAGATGGGTCTCCTCGACCCCAGTACCAGCGATGGTCGCGTGATTTTTTTCCTCCCGTGGCAGAAACAGACCATTGCCGGCACGACAGACCTTCCGTGTGACGTGACCCACCACCCCAAGCCGACCGAAGACGAGATTTTATTTATTTTAGAAGAAGTTAAGAATTATTTAAATCCAGATGTAGAAGTAAGACGTGGGGATGTCTTGTCGGCTTGGAGCGGGATAAGACCCCTCGTTTCCGATCCCAATAAACCAGATACGCAGTCGCTTGCCCGCAATCATATCGTACATGTCAGTGATAGTCATTTGGTAACGATAGCGGGGGGCAAATGGACGACTTATCGTGCCATGGCTCAGGAGACCATTGATGCGGCGATTGCGGCTTGTTGTCTCAAACCGGTGCATAAAGAGTCTCAGACTGATGGGTTGTTGTTAGAGGGGGCGCACGGATGGACCCCCACGATGTACATTAGGTTAGTGCAGGATTTCGGTTTGGAGTGTGAAGTGGCGCAACATTTGTCCAAGTCGTATGGGGATAGAGCGTTCACGGTGGCTAAGATGGCAGCACTGACAGGTGGGTACAAAATTGGAAAAGTCGAGCGACCGGAATATTGAACAATTCCGTCGAATAATCGACAGAATTTGATTTTTAAATGTTAAAACCTTGTAGTTTTCGCTGTTTGATAGAAAATCTTCAATTTTTTCTTTGTTAGGTAAGAGGTGGCCCATCATTGGCAAAAAAATCCATCCCGAATTCCCTTACATCGATGCCGAGATCAGATATGGAGTCCGAGAGTACGCAGTGACAGCTGTTGACATGATCGCACGACGGCTTCGTTTGGCTTTCCTCAACGTGCAAGCCGCTCAAGAAGCCCTTCCTGAGATTATCAGTATCATGGCTGAGGAGTTAGGCTGGTCTGATGGTAACAAACTCAAAAAAAAAAATTATAGATTATATACTACAGTTTATTTCTACAGAGGAGAAGCAAAAGCAGCACAAGGACGCTACGATTTTCCTCCAAAACGAGATGGGTCAGAACGTCAATCGCGCAAGCAGGGACAAAATCCCCATTAATTTGAGTAAAGAAGAGATTCAATTGTATATCAAGAGGTTCCAAATTATCGATAAGGACCGCAAAGGATACGTCTCGATCAATGATATAAGGAGGAGTCTCAAGGTAAAATTTGTAAATTTGTGTGTTCGTAGAGCCTACTCACCCTCTCTAATAAAGTCTCTAGGTATGAAACTAACCGATGACGAAATTCATCACCTCTTATCCGATATTAACGTAACATACAACGGCCAATTGGAACTGGCTGATTATTTACAGGTGAGCCTCTTTTCGATTTTTCTAATTTCGGTTCGTTTTTACAGCGGGATGATGGAAAGGAGGTTCCTGGTGAGGAGCTCCACGAAATACTTCGAGAGATTGATACGAATATGAATGGACAAGTTGAACTTGACGAGTATTTGCAGGTTTGGCAAACTTTGACGTTCACTTGTTTGTTTTTTTCTTGCAACACCAATTATTAATTTGCTCGAGTTACAAAAATTAAAACCGCACTCGGGTTTGAACCCCTATTTTTAGTGAGATCCCAAACACGCAACTCTGATCATTTTTTTTTTTGTTTCTTTTTATTTTTGTGATGAAATTTCTTTCGTGATAGTCGTTTTTTTCTAGATGATGTCTGCCATTAAGTCAGGTCACGTGGCGTATTCAAGATTTGCTCGAATGGCCGAACTCGAAGAACAAAAACACGAGAAAGAAATGCTCAAAAAGAAGATTTCGGTAGAGCGCAGCGGCGGCGGCGTATAAAATAAAGAAAATATTTGTAAATAAAAATATTGTCAATTTGTATACTCAGGTGATTTTGTCGTATTGTTTGAGTTAATTTATTTTGTTGTAGCTTTGATTCTACATAAAATAAAGTATTACGGACAAGAAACACATTTTTCAGACAATACATACGTTTATTACATTTATTAGAATTATTAAAGCAATAATTAGGAAAATCTGACGAAATTAAAAAGACCTTGTCTATTGACAAAGTTCGGTTCATTTCTCCAATTTAGAAAAACAGGCCCGAAACTGATTAAAGAAAATTTTATTATATAGTTTTGATAAGTTAATAATACAGTTAAGTTAAATTATATCGCAGAAGAGTGTAAAAAAAACAACAAAATAAATTAACAATCGGAAGCATTAAAGTCGACTCCGCTTCCACTTGAAGGCCCAGACTTCTTCCCCCCGCGGGCCAATCTGTCTAACTCAGCTGCAGCGTCGGAGCGCATAGTCGCCTTATCCATCGATTCCGGTCCTCCGGGTTTATTCACAAAGGAATTCCCCGGACTCGAACCAGTTTTCTTATGCAACAACGAATTAAAGAAATTCGCCAACACCCCTTCCCCACCTGGCGAGCTGACGACCTTGGACCCATCCAACTACAAAATAATTCGAATCCAATTTGCGAAAAACCGTAAAACCCCCATTCCCAAACAAAAAATTCACAAAACATTACCCAAAAAACTCAACAAATGTAAGCGAATTTTTACCCGTGGTATTAGTCAACCAATTCCCCAGTCATGCTGCACTTGTTAAAAACGAAATTAAAAAAAAAAAACGACACAGAAATTTTGAATTGTGAATTTTTACCTTCTTTGGGGAGCCTTGAGTTGTTCTTACCGTTGCTTTTCCTAGTGGTGATGACCTTATAGGGGTTTCACCAAGACGTGGTCCTTGAAGGTTGTTACCCCCAGCAAAGAGAATCTGTTGTTGGCGTGCGAGGAAAGCTTGTTCGTCTTCGGCCAAAAGCTCGGTTTCGCGGTTTATTGTCTGGAAATTAAATTAAGATATTTTGAGGATTAAGAGTTGCCAAGTGTCACCTTCCGGGTCGCAGGTTGCACAATTATGTCCCGGAAATAATCATCAGGTTTACAAGTGTGCAAATTCTCGTACAAGATTCGGATTTTATTCATATTATCCCATCCAGCCGGTCTAATAAATCAAATTTTTCATCAATAGATTAAAAAATGGCTCCACTTACATAAAAACTGCATCTTTTTCGACCACTAGGGCTGGTGTTCGGAATGGAAAACCGTAAATGCGATGAGTCAAATATTTATACAACAAATCACAATTCTTATCTTCTTTTGCGCTCGTATAGAACAACGCCGCCCCATACTGAAGACAAAACTTCCTTATCCACTGCTGCATAAAATCCAGATGCTCATCCCTATAATCGTGCTCTTTCTCCAATGTCTGAATATAATCAGTCTGCAAATCCCAAAAATAAAAATTACTATTTTTAAAAATCCGAAAGAGACCTTGGTGACCACTACGACGATATCCAACCCCAAGTTATTGGTCAAAGTGCCTTCAGGCAACGATGTTTGCTCCTCCAAGCCGTCTTCCCCTTCTCCAAAAGTCCTGGAGCTCCGTTTCATAGGGGAAGCCGGGTCGAGTTCGTCCCCCGGTTCCACATATTCTTGCCACATTTTCACAATGTGCTGACGCCGGTTTTGGCGTAAGTCAACGTCGAGTTTTAGTTTATCGAGATGGTCGGCTAAGACAGATGCCCAGTGTTGTAGCTGCTCGAGGATGCTCCAAGGAGCTGTCATGGTTACGGTGAGAATGACGAGGGTATGTTGGAATGTCTCTTCATTTAGGGCAAATTTGAGGAGGTCGGTGTGCCCCGGATCGCCGTCTAGTACCCACACGCTGAGACGGGTCTGATCTGGAAAAAAAGAAAAATTCAAAAAGACCGCCAAAAACGAACATGTGGCACCTGCCGGTTGGTTATTTTCGTGTTGCTAATCTCCGGCTTTTTTACAAACTACCCGAAGTGTGCAAAATATTATATCTCAATTATTATAATAATTAGGACATGAAGTTATTTAATTTTTTTGTGATTATTGGACTATGTAAAATAAATATCCTATGTCAAACTACCAACAACGTTGCCAAATCTACCAAAAGATTGAATTAATCTCCTCAAATTATTTTCAATGTATTTTGAAACAAAAACGAGCGAAATTTATTTGAAATATAAGACAGCTATCGTGTGGAAAATGAAGTACAAACCATCTCTGTAATCGTCCCTAACGTCGATATAAGCATACTCCAGCCCAGACCCCTTTTTGGGGTCCTCCACTCCTTGTAACTTCGCAACAATCGTGGTCTTGCCACACTCATTGTCCCCCAGGACCAAAACTTGCTTACAAGAGGGCAATTTCGGATTACCGTTGTTTTGAACGTCACTCAAAATTTGAGACCTGGAAAGTAAGGTTAAGACAGTTCGTCAGTGTTCAAAAAGCTTGCCATAAATTCTTTTTGCTATCATCAGTCGGTTTTGCAACTTCTTCCGGCATTTTCGACACTTTTTTATTAAAATTCTAACGGGTTTTTGCAATGAATTGAAAACTGATTTTTGACAAGTTGACGTTTATGGCCTTGAAACGATGAGTCATAAAAAAATCTATTTTATTCAAAAAACTTAGATTTTGTAGTTTAATTAAAAAATAAACTCGTGCTTTACTTTGTTTTTATAAAAACGTAATCAACATTATTTAATCTAAAATAAATTAAATTGTTAATTTTTTTTCTTTTTGTTGCATATTCACTAACGTGAATAGCATAAAAGTGAAAGTCACTAGATTTTGACACTTGACAACAATTACGTTAGATTCTTATTTGGGTTAAAAATGTTATCTACTAGTGTTAAAACTTTTTGCGTGTAGTTTTTCAATCTTCAATGTCTTTCATACGTTGTTTGTTTCGAAGTAAAAATGCTTGAATCGCTTTTGGAATATATCAGGGCTTGGTTTCCATCTAACGAGTTGCCCCAATCGAGCGGCTTTTCCCGCAAACGCAGGTAAAACATTTCAATTTTGCTGTTGTTCTAGTCTTAAGTCTTTGTTTTCAGAGGCTCTGATACCAATAGTCACTTTAAAAGCCCCAAACACAGAAAAATCCTTTCCTCTATGGCAAACAATATTTTGGAGGGTAAGTCCCCAATTCAAGTCTGTGTAATTTTACTGATTTGTTTGATTTAAAGATGACATTTTCACTTCGCCTTTGCGTTCAAATCGACACGAAGCCGTCGTTTTGGACGACGAAGACGACATCCGCGTTGCGAGTAAACCAATTGATATAAAAACATCGCGGAAATCGAGAGAAAATCGGTGGGAGACCAATGGTACAGACGATTTGAGATTCCTCAAAAGTATTAAAAGCACAACTGAGAAAAAACTCGATGCGAAAAGGAACAATGTAGAATATATCACGCGGTTTGCCACCAGTTACGAGCCCCACAACGGCGTTAAAGCCAAGTCGAGAGTATCACCGATTTCGAGGAATGTTAGGTCGGGCCGGTCGAGCTTGAGCAACAGCTTTTCGACCCCTACTTTGGACTATTCAATTAGATTAGATGATAAAAAGAAATATGAAATGTTGTTGGATAACGTCGCAACGTTACAAAATTCCTATTCGTTTAATAATTCCTCGACTTACGGGACTCCAGTCGGGTCGTTGTTTAATCGGTCACGGAGGCTGGTGGAATTGGCTAAATCGCCGAATAAAAAACCAGTTGAAGTGATCGACTTGACTGAAAATAAGAGGAAACTATCGACCAAAGATACAGTAATAAAAGTTTTGGATGATTTTGAGAGTGAAGAAGTTATTGAAGATTCCGATTCCGATGTTGAAATTCTGCCAAATCCACCGTCGCCGAAACCCGATATCAAAGTACCCCCAATTAATAGCCTCAAAACTGTTGTTGATACGTCGAAGCCGACGCACCAAAAGTGGCTACAGGATATGTAAGTAATTTCTATCATAGACTTTCGGTTTATTTTGACCATCTGATTTTTTAATTCCCAACTAAGTACATATTTGTGAAGTGGTTGATTTCAGTAAAAATATTAATCTCTGTTAAAATTCAAAGTCGTGGTCAGACGTGTAATTCTAGTGTTATATGGTTTAGATGTAGCCTTAACCACATTTAACTGTATGTTGAATTGGGGATGTTTGATTTTATTTTTTAGGAATTTTTAATATTTCTTTGTGAGTGTCAAACGTCTCAGTCCCCTTTCAAATTTGCACGATGGGTAACATCTTCAATATTTTTCTGTACTTTTGACTCTCTTTCGCCTTTCTGCTAACTCTCTCGATATTTTTTCTTTCAGTACCAAGAATCATGAACGCTTCGTCGAAGACAAGTCGAAAGAGATTGAAGCGTACACCGAAAACTCATCCGCCTTGAACGAAATCAATCGCAATTTATTGATAAAATCTTTAACTAAAAAAGTCCAAGACTCGCTTGCCATCAAGGAAGCGATTCTTCCGATCGAAGAAGAGGAAGAAGAAGTCGAGTTGCCGCCTTTGACCGATGAACAGCTGCGTATGGTGAAGAAAGCCTTTTCGGGAGACCCTAACGAAGTGCTCACGAAGAAATTTAACTTGAATGTGACACGAAGAGATATGCAAACGTTGTCAGGCTTAAATTGGCTCAACGATAACGTGATTAATTTCTACATGAATTTGATAATGGAGAGAGGGACTGATTCGAAGTGGCCGAGGACTTACGCCACTAATACTTTCTTTTATCAAAAATTGTCAAGAAATGGGCCAGATTCGCTGAAACGGTGGACGAGAAGGGTGGATATTTTCTCGTATGAGTTCATCTGTGTTCCTATACATCTAGGGATGCACTGGTGTATGGCGATAATCAATCTTAAGGAGAGGACGATCAAGTATTATGATAGTATGGGGAAATCGAATAATCAGTGTTTGAATGCGTTGAGGAACTATCTAGAGTTTGAGCATATGGATAAGAAAGGACAGCCGTTTAGTACCGAGGATTTTGTCTTGGAGAATGTCCAGGATATACCACAACAAATGAACGGGAGTGATTGTGGCATGTTCTCGTGTACATTTGCGGAATTTGCGACGAGGAAAGCGAGGTTCACTTTCCAACAGGAAGATATGCCGTATTTGAGGAAGAAAATGGTAGTTGAAATACTCACCGGGCAGTTACTGATACAGTAGGGGGTCTTTTTATTTTTGTATACTTATAGGTTTTAGTACAATGGAATTGTGTTATGTTTATGTACAATTCATTTCATTGAAATAAAAGCGATAATTTATTTACATCTGATTGTGCGTGAATGGACGAGTGTTAATACATAAGTGTTAAAATATTAAATATAGGTTTTTCATTTGTTTTTTTTTTTTTAGATTGAATCTTCTAATCCTGTCACTATACTTTTTTTTTTAAATAAATAAAATTTTAGGAATCATTTTGTTTTACTTTTGCTACCTAAAAATTTTTCTTGAGTTAAAAAGAGGTGTAAAATTACGATCACGATTTATAACAAATTATAACTAGTTTTCGTGTTATTTATAAATGTATAAATTTTTTGGAGTCTTCCATATTCCATTACTTACTTGATTTATTATACAGGATACGCCAGAACTCGCGAACCAGAGAAAATTTTCAAGCAAGGTAAGATACCAGGAACATGAAAAAAATGTTTAAAAAATTCTCTGTCAAAAAAATTTGACATTTATTTTTGACATTTGACAATTTTTTATATCTATTTAATGATACTGATGATCTTGTATATGTTTTTTTACGATTATTTAGTGTAGGAACAAAAATTTTGCCAATAAATGCCACAAATAACATTGGAACAGAGTTACAATTTAGGTTACAGCTTCCTTGTTTCCTCTTTTAATAACCTATAGCAAAAAAACTTGGAATTTTTTTTTTCCAACAGAAATAAATAGAGTCAAAGCACAAACTTTTAAACCCTCATAACTTTGAAATTTTTATAGATATTTTTTTTTAACATTTTTTCCATGTTCCTGGTATCTTACCTTATATGGCATTTTTCTCTGGGTCGCGAGTTCTGGCGCACCTGTATATTGTTTAATTTTTGGACACCTTTGACCGAAAAACTGGTAAAAGAAGAAAAAAAACTACTGTTAAAAGCATTTTATTCAAGAGTTGAGAAAAATCGTCAACTTTATTACAAGTTTATCGTCAAATAAATAATTTCTTTCTTGTAATTTCGCATATGGGACTTTATAAAATCCCTCGTAAGTGCCACCACCAAAAATTTGTGAATTTATATTTTTGCTACCATCAAAATGATCCAAAATTGTGAACTTGTGTTTCTTCAAAATATTACTGCTAGGTTTGAGCTGGATGCCTAAATATTTCGGTATGTGATTTGGATATAGCTGTAGACATAATTGGTGACCTAAAAAAATGAAAATTACAAATAATGGATTAGAAGTTGAACCAAATAACCCAAAACGTAAAAGTCGGCACTTCTAATATGGAGACCACTTTTGGGCAAAACTGCCCCAATCTCGGGGATTTCCCAGTAATAAATGAAAAGTTTTTCGCCTTTGTGGACATGAATGGTGTTGTTTAAATGAACAATTTCTGTTCTAACCCACGACGAGGCATGGGTTACCTCCTCGGTCACACTTATGATGGTACTATCAGAACYATCATCGGTGATGGGGTCAGCAACTTTCAGACTTTTTTCTTCATAATCATAATAATCGTTAGTTCTAACTGGTTTGTTGCTATCTCCTCCTAAGAGTTGCTTAATCAGGCTCAACTCAGCCAAAAGCTTTTCTTCCAATTGTTGAAATTTTTGCTCAATTTGCTCTATAAAATTTATTTAGAACTCCAGAAAGTGTTAAAAGACACTTACTATAAGTGCAAACCCCTTTCAATTGCCTCTTGACCGTCGCATTTGCCGTCGTTTGCACTTCAGTGCTGTTAATCCAGCAAGTCGCGAACTGCGTGTCTTCAACAATATCATCTTGGGTAAAAATGAGTGAAAAAATCGCGCTCAAAATAACAACACAACGAATCATTTCAGACTACTCCCAAAGTCCGGTGTTTTGTAATTTCCACCTAAAAATACCCCAGTTTGTTATCTTTCGAGTCTTCGTGGCCTAATTCTCAATATAAAGAGTGTTGCGTCAGGCGATTGTGTCACTGTCAAAATTCTCGTGGGATGGACGAAGTTGAATTCGATTGAGATTTTATTCATAATCAACAAAATCGTATTTTGCAGGACAAGAAAAAAAAGTTTCTCGGATTGGGTGTTTACACGCCTGTCTGGYTGTTCTACTACTATGTCTCCAAACAGTACGATTATGTATACAGGAATAATTCATCAAATTATGAGGCTTTCGTTAATTTAAAACGCTTTGGTAGCTTCTATTTTACTGGYTGGAATTTTGTAAAAAAGCTTAYATTGATTTGGCACCATTTTTCAACGATTTTTTTTCAGACTGCTCAAGTCTACTTTTTGGTTATTGCAATTATTCACGAATTGTCGCATTTGCTGGGAATCCCCCAAAATGTGTCAAAGTATTTCGGGTTGATTCGTCACTACCTATTCACTGCGATTGTTTTCCCTTGTACAATGATGGTATCATTCATGTTTTGGGGCTTGTATTTAATAGACCGCGAGTTGGTTTTTCCCCGAAGTTTGGATAAATTTTATCCATCATGGATGACCCACAGTGTTCACTCCTTTATTATTTTACCCATCATAGCCGAAATTAATCTCCCAAAGGAACACGGATTTGAAATTATTGATTTCTATCACGCTGTGCCTGTACTCACAGCTTTTATTATCTCTTACGAAGTTTCGTAAGTAAAATTAGAAAAAAAAATTAAGTTTCAACATCCGTTTTCAGATTAATAACTATTTATTTAGTATATGGAGTTTGGTTGTACCCCATTTTTAAATACTTGACGTGGTTACAAAGACTCTCTTTTTTGATAATAGTGTACTCAATCACAGTTTTGCTCCTGTATCTGGGAATTTTTATCCAACATTTGAAAAAATCGAAAAGAGTCAAATTTGCGAACACAACTTAGAATTAATTTTTTTTTTAATAAAGTGAAGAAAGGTTGAAGTCACTTCCACGGAATTTTTATTATACTTGAATGCGCATTGAAACTATTGTTTTAAAAACACTTGCTTATTGATGACTTTTTCCGAGAAGATTCGCACCTCTCCGGGAAAGTAATGTAATTTATTACAGATGGTGCTAATTATAGGGCTGTTGTGCAAAACTTGATCCAAATTACTTTATTTCAGTTTTTTTTTTTAACTCTGAACAAAAATTAAAACTAAAACAATAATTTTTATATTGACACCATTTATCTTAAATTACATGGGAAAACTAAGTTTTTTGCTATAATTAATTTGATTTAAGCATTTTTGTTGTAAATGGAGAAAAACACGTATTTTTGTTTTTGGGTTTAAAATTTGCGGGTCGCGTTGTCGGTAATACAGTTTTTGCAGTGTCGCCAATAGATTTCTGGCCAAACTTATCTTTTCCCCCGCTTTTGCGTCACACTTCTATTGGCACCTTTGCCTCTCTAATAAAATCCCTCAGCCCCATCCCTTATGACTGTTTCGTTCTGTCAAATGTGTCTATAAGTCGTCCGAAATTCTCAAAAATAAAAACTTTTGTAATGAGTAGTGTAAAGTTTTGATAGTTTCTGGTGAAGGCACGCTCGACATCTTCAAGACCGCCTCTTGACCTCAAATATCCCGCGAAATCTGTTACTGTTCACTCAAAAAATGCCTCTGTTTGGAAAATCGCAAAAGAGCCCCACCGATATTGTGAAAGCCCTAAAGGAAGCCGTAAACGCACTGGAAAAGGGCGAAAAGAAGGCGGAAAAGGCTCAGGAGGAAGTAAGCAAGAATCTGGTGCTGATTAAGAACATGTTGTATGGGACGTCAGATGCGGAGCCCCAGACGGATATAATAGTAGCCCAACTGGCTCAAGAGTTGTACAATAGTAATTTGTTGCTGCTGCTGATCCAGAATTTGAATCGGATTGATTTTGAAGGAAAAAAGGATGTGGCGCAGGTGTTTAATAATATTCTGCGGAGACAGATTGGTACGCGGTCTCCGACCGTGGAATACATCTGCACCAAGCCCGAAATTTTGTTCACGCTTATGTCAGGGTTAGTGTAACGGCTCAATGGGGCTGTTTGAGTGATTTTGCGTTTTTTTCAGGTATGAACTGCAGGAAATTGCCCTGAATTGCGGGACGATGTTGCGTGAGTGCGCCCGTTATGAGGCCCTGGCCAAAATCATGCTTTATTCCGACGATTTCTATAATTTCTTTAGATACGTCGAAGTGTCGACTTTTGATATCGCCTCAGATGCATTTTCTACATTTAAGGTTGGCGCGTAGTGGGTTTTTGGCGCATTTTTCATCTTTGATTGTAGGAATTGTTGACGCGTCACAAAATCTTATGTGCCGACTTTTTGGAAGTTAATTATGACAAAGTTTTCAGCCATTATCAACGACTTTTAAATTCCGAAAACTACGTCACTAGACGTCAAAGTTTGAAATTGCTCGGCGAATTACTTCTGGATAGACATAATTTCACTGTGAGTCATTATTTTTCCTCTATATCTTATCGTTTTTATCGAAACGAGTGCGGATTATATCAATGGATGAGTTTGTGGGTCAGTTTCACCTGAATATAGAACACAGTGTTGCCAACGTGCGATTTCTAACGCAACTCGACCGTGAAAACATTGATGAGATGAAGATGAAGTGTTTTTTTGTTGGCTATTTTTGGTGTTGCAATTTTTAAATAGACATTGTGTATGTACTTATATAGGATGTTTTGGAATTTGTGGTTAAAAAAAATACTTTAGTAATGGTTGGCTTTTTGGCATTGGCTGTTATACAATTACGGACAAGGAATTTTGGACATGTCAGTTCAAAAAATGTCAATRTATTGTCGTATCAACAAGAAATTACTCCCTAAAATTTAGGGATATTCATGAATAGGTTTTCATAAATTTGGTTAAGTTGGTTTCTGGTGACAAACAAAACATATCGTAACTATTGTCAAAATTTAGGTTAGGCCACCTGTCAGCTTGTATAGATAATTCAATTGATAATTGACAGCAGGTTGACAGAAAACTTCAACCGTCAACAACAAGGAGTAGTGGGCATTCAAAATTACTTCTGAAAATTCTAGYTACAAACAACATGAAAAACGTAATTTTCCTAAATGTTCAAATCCTAGGTGGTAATTTCTTGTTGACAAATCTGTAATGCTTTATTGTTATTATGATTGACGTTTGAAACTAGGATTTGAAAGTTTTAGTTGAACTTTATTTTTGGCGTTGATTTTCTGAAATAACAATGCCAGCAGTACATGTTTTTTCAATAACTAATTTTGATTTATTGTAATTTTTTCTCTAGCTGTCAGGATAAAACTTAAAAAAACCGAAAGTGAGGTTTCGTACATAAGGCCCGTTTTACATTCTTATGTCAATTGAATGACAAATCCCTGTTCGCAATTGTTTATTTTTTATTTTAGTACAAAATATCAAATTATGTATGTTCAATTCGTTTTGTGTAATACGAAGTTATTGAAGTTGCTTTAATTTGATATATTTTACGTCTTTAATACGATCTGAATCTGTTTATTGCTATACTGGGTGACACTTAAAAATATTTTTTAAGCAGTTATCCTGCATTTATTTGCTTTTAGTTTTATTTTTTGGCTTCAAAATATTTGGTGTTTGGGATTTTTTTTCTTTTTTGCAGGTGATGACGAGGTATATATCCAATCCAGACAATCTTAAACTTATGATGAATATGCTTAAGGAACGATCTAGGAACATCCAATTTGAAGCCTTCCATGTATTTAAGGTAGTTTTATCCTTTTTAGTGGTTACTGTTGTGACTGTTGTGATTTTTTACTTAGGTGTTTGTGGCAAATCCCAACAAACCCAAGCCAATTTTGGACATTTTGCTCCGCAATCAAGACAAGTTAGTAGACTTCTTGATGAAGTTTCACACGGATCGGGCGGAAGACGAACAATTTAACGACGAAAAAGCGTACCTTATTAGGCAAATAAAAGAACTAAGGCCGATGGCCGGGCATTAACAATTTTCCTATTAACATTTTTATTAATTATTATTATTGTTAAATATATATTTTTAATTTCAGCCGTTACCAATATTTAAAAGCCCCAAGGACTCCCGTATCATTTAATTTCATTGACGTCCATTTTATTTGACATTTTGTAACTCTACCTGAGCTGAGTTTTTCAATGCTCAAGAGGTATAAAAATACTTTCGAGTGATTTTCGTTTTGTAGTTGAGTTGTTAGGGTCGGTAAAAGTATAACTAAGTGTATTTATAATAATATATTTATACAGAGAAGATGTTATAAAGCGTATAATTTTATAGAAAGCAGAACACGAATTGACTTTGCCTAAATCAAACCCGAAACTGTTCTGTCGGTCGTAATTTTCTTTCGTCTCCTTTTGTTTTTTTGCCCCCTTTTGTTCATCTCGATTTTGTTGGCTTGTAGCAATAATTTCTGAATTAAGTGTACTTTGTTTTTATAAAAATAAGTCTAGTGGTTAGTTAGTTTAGTAATGAATTCTGTAAATCTATTAATTCAATTATAAAAACATAGTGGGGTGCCTATAAATGCTTATGGGTAGTTTTAAACCAATTAATCTTATTAGAAATTAAATGACCATCCATTTGGGGAGTGGATCGATTTTTACTGATTTTCCATGAGAGAAATCAAAAAAATCATCCAACGGCAATTTGATAAATTAATGGAGGGCTGTAATTACTAATAGGATCTATTCTTAGCATACTTAAACTTAAAAAATGAAAAATAATAGGATACCTAATACAATTCTAAATCTTATTAAAATTAAATAGTTTTATAAAAAGAATTTCTATTCGAGGATAAAAAATTAGTAAAGAGGATTGTTATTTCGTTTCAGGAGCTGCGTCTAGCGTAACATAATTTAGGCACTTGTTCAAACGTTCAAACACGAGTTGCGAAAGCGAAATTCTCTTTTTTTCTACACGTTTTAGTTATGTATGTTATTGTATTTATTTTAAATTATATGATTTACACAGAAATTGGAAACAATACATTCTTTTAGATGACACGCAGTTTTATTTGATTCAACAAAGAGAAACTTTCTGAATTTGGCGCTCTTGTCACTCGTGTCGCCAACATGCAAGATTCAAAACCCCTACATCGCTTTATTTGCGTCGTTTAAAAAACAACAAAAATAATAATTCACGTGTTTGCCCAAGTCGGGCTCAAAAGCCTTCGTTTGTGTGTTGAATTAATTAATTTTTGTGATAATTGTATTTGTAATTGCGTGGTTTGTCTTAGTGTTGTTAAATGCGTAGCAGGCCGTGAACTTTGCTCAGCAAATGGCTGTCAAAAAGTCRCACCATGTTGTGAAGAAATAAAAACAATAATAATTTCGATTGCGTAACGGTGTTGCGAAATGCAGAAATAATCCCAAAATTGTGTGAGTCCCGAATGCGTGAAAAGACGTGAAAATGCCTGCCCCTAAGCAGAGGAAAATCGCTTTGATGGGCTACCGCTCGGTGGGAAAGTCCTCATTGAGCATGCAATTCGTGGAGGGCAAGTTCTTGGAATCCTACGACCCAACGATCGAAAACACGTTCAAGAAATCCCTCAGGATTAATTCCACTGATTACGAGTTGATCCTCGTGGACACTACGGGCCAGGACGAGTTCTCGATGTTCCCTTCGCAGTACAGTCTGGATGTCCACGGCTACGTCCTTGTATACAGCATAGAAAACATGAAGTCGTTTGAAGTAGTCTCGGCCCTGTACAACAAGCTCGTCGACATCACAGGGAAGACTTATTTTCCCTCAGTTTTGGTGGGGAACAAGTCTGACATGTTTCAGTGTCGGGAGGTTTCAGCTGAAGAGGGGCGAAAGCTGGCAGAAAAGTGGAAAGCCACGTTTCTGGAGACCTCCGCCAAGCACAACATCGCCGTGGCTCAAGTGTTCCAAACGCTGCTCAACGATATTGAAAGGGCCGACGGCAACGAGAAGCCCAGTTGTAGCATCAACTGATTTAGCTAATTCAAAGACTGTTGTTATATTTTTAAAGTGGCATAGTTTTCTATCTATTTTTTATATATACACTAATCTGGTCTGTGTTGAGGTGCACAACTGTGAGATTTGTCTATTAACCATTTTTTTTTTCTTTAGGTTTAAGCGTAAGTGATGTAGATTTTTAAGATAAAGATCCCCAAGATTCTATTGAATTATCTATTGAGAACGTGTTGTACAAAATCATATTTTCGAAGGTTTAGCACCATTTGGGGGTGAATTATTTATAGATTTTAAGTGTTAGCTCTGTTTGTATTTATTTCCTTTAATTGTAAGTAAGTGAATTTTTTACGGTTTGAGGTTTGACGTGCAATTTTCGGGACCTCAAATTTACAAATTTCCCAGTGCTTTGCTTTTGTTCAAGTCGTCCATAGATTTAAATCGTGAGGGCCGGGATTTGGACGACTTTGTGCAAAAATGCAAATTTCTAATTACTTTTTTGTATAAATACATATAATTTTCATCTGTTGTTGTGGTGTAAACTTAATTGTTTGTATTGATGTATGAAATACAGATATAAATGAATTGGATACTTTATTTCACGTGGTTTTTATTTAGTGGGTCAGTCGTGGCCATGCAATGATTCCGGTTGACCGGAAATGAGCTAATTTTAGGTAATTTTCCCACTGAATTTGTTCACATACAGAGTTAATTCGACTAATGACTGTAGTGTAAACGCTACCTTGTGAACATTATTGTTACTTTTTAATAAAAAACATTTCCTGTCGATTACTGTTTGATTGGTTGGTAATTTAACAGATTTTATCGTTTATCACAAAAAATCGTAGGAGTAAAATTAACAAAAAAAAACATCATAAACAGGTGCGATAATAAAGTTGGTAGTCTTGATTGTGTTGTGTTTCATTTAGGTCAGGTTTTATTAGCGATTAAACTAAACGATTTTTTTTCATTAGAAGTTTTTATCGCATCAAATATTGACAGTCAGATTTTTAAAATTATTTAAAGTTAGCGTAATAGTAGAAGATTCACAAACTCAAGAGGTTTTAAATAATTATTTGATAAAGAGATCTACATTGAAGATCAAAAAGAAGTAAAATTTGATTAATATTATGCAGATTCTCAATCAGATGGCGCCGCATGCTTCATCAGTTGTGGATTCTCATTTGGGTTTTTAAATTTTTTTGAAAATTCTCAAATTCAAAAAAATCAAGAACAATTGAAAATAAAGAGGTATTATACGACAGACTTGCGATATGCAAATTAAAATCGTCATAATTAATGTAATTACTCCCCCGACACCAATTTCCATAAGCAACGTAAAAATAAAAAATTAATCAAACCAAGCGGCAACAAGCGAAGATTCCCTTTGTAATATGTTGACTGTTATCGTCCCAGGATCTCTGTTTTAGTGCTTATCTTTCCTCATTCATTTTTACAGCCGAGTTGTGAGTGTCCATTCATTACCAACCTAGATCCATAACACGCATTTCTCCCCTTTGTAAAAACCGGTCACTACAGGGCGCAAATCCGGTCTGGGGGTTCACTGACTGAAAACTCTTCCTCGGAGGATCTTGTTATGCGTGCGGCGATTCGCACGTTTCCTGTTCGAAATGGTTTTATAATCAGCCGCATGACGGAACGATCTTTAATTGGACTTGGGGAAACGAGGCTTTTTGGCAAGGAAATCTCCGGTTTATCGGCATCGACGTCAATTTTAATCACAACGAAGCCATAAAATTGGAAATTGTGCGTCTTGGAATTAACGTCCAAGGGATTCAGGACAAGAATTTATGAAATTCTTGCCAACTTAGCCTCTAGCTAATTATTTACACTTTGCTTTGGTAAAGAAATTTCCCGTCGACGTGCATAAATCCCCTCGTCCCGACTCTAATATCAAGTTCGTGTTTGTTTAGTTAAGGCTTGTTGTTTTGTATGCACACTGATCAGTCCGAAATCCCCGTTCCCGGGGGTTCAAACTGCCTTTCTACCGCAACCGACACGTGCGCGTGTCGGATGCAGCTGCTCCCTTAAATTTTTTCCTCTCTCCTTCCTTGGGTTGCTGCAACCGTCAAATGCCGACACGATAAAAGGACGTGATGCTTGTTGTTCGCAACCCCTTTTGTAATTCGGCACGTGCGACGAGTGCTAACATTCAAGGGCACCGAATTAGATCAAGACGTAATAAAACAAGTTCATTTTCTTTTAAAACATACCTTTGAGTTTGAAATAAATCACAACTGGGAATGGGGCGGTTAAAGGCTCCAATGTGCATTGTCTAGTAAAAAACAAGTAGGTACTATTCAAACTTCATCTTGCGAAGGTTAATAAAATCGAAAAAATAATATAGGTTTTTAAAGATAATTTCCAGTATAGTGAAACGTAATAATATAGAATTAGTTTGACGTCAACCAATACCGACGATCAATCACTTTATTTGTTCTTTCCTACTCAAAATAAATTCCATCCTTTCTACATGCAAGCACGTCTATAAGGCTGTATTCTAGTGGAAATGATTGTTTTACAAACACTTTAGATGGCATTCACCTTTAATAAACTGACAACAACTCTGTTAATTTCCCAATACTAATCTGAATTTTGAAGGAACAAGGTTTTCACATAGTCAAATTTACAAAGAATGGGTTATCAGTTTATCACAACCATAGACAATGGCCTCGTGATAATCGACAAATCACTATACTATGACATTTAGAAACATTCTGAAATCGTCAGCTTGTACTAAATTAAAAGCCTTTTAATTTATTTTGCAAATTTTTGAAATCGGGTCATAAATAAAAATTTTACAGCGCTTGCTGTTTTTTTTTAAATCATCTTGTAGGATGAGTTTTTGGCGCCTTTTTAAAACGTCAAAATTATTTTCTGTACTTTACTGCACTAGTGTGTCGCTTTAGGGGAGAGTCGGGTATTGGTGCGCACCTAAGCTAAAATTGTAAAATTTCTGAAATAATAAAAGATTGGATTTATACGTTTGTCGTCAAGATTCTTCAAGAGTTTGGCAATACAGTTCTGTAGTACCTTTTACATAAAAATGCACATTGTGACTTTAAAATATGAAATGTTATAAAACGACACTGCGTATCATTACCTAACGTATGCGGCTAATGGTGCGCATAGGTGGGATAATCGTGCGCATTAAAAAGGGAAACAAATAACTCAATATATTGAACGTAAAAATATGATTATTTATCTAAAAATGCAAAAATACTTTGGCCTATGATTAAAAAAACGAAATATAAAAGATATATTAAAATGAAAATAAATGCAAAGTACATGGCGGTTAATTGTGCGCACTTGAGATTAATCGTCCCTCGTGCGCCCGATTAACCGAAAGTGGAAGATTCACTTTTAAATTTTATAAAATAATGAAAAACTTTTTTTCTATCTAAAACATATTATATCAGTGTTAAAGGGATTCATTAAGCAATGTATTAACGTGTACAATTATTAAAATATGTAAAAATGGAAATACTTACGGTTTATTTTCTGCAAGACATCTATTAGAACACAACATCCGAAAGCAACGAAGTGGCCATTTTAGATAAGTAGGATCAAGCGATGTACCTGACTAATATGTGAAATTATATAGGTTTGTCAAGAGATAGCGCCTGGATAAGGAATTCGAAATTGTAACAGTGATTGCTGCGCACAATTACCCGACTCTCCCCTACAACACACAAATAGAGTAGCAAATAGCTACGTCTTTAAAACCATACGTGGTTCACCAAAATTATTATTTTTTTTTTAATTTAAAGACTAATGTTGGAATTTAACAAACTTCAAAATAGTAAATGTATTAAATAATAATCTCAAAATAAAAAAAATAAATAACAAGAACTCGTGTTTTCACAGTTGTCTTGGTTTTGTTTATATTTTTTATTACTTGTGTACTAACTTTTTCGTTGATACTTGTTTAAAATTTGAAGCATCTGCAACTTCTCGTCTTTTTTCTTTGGTCTTTAAATTCGATCCACTTCACAAGTGGCAACTCGTGTTTTACACGCTTAACATAATCAAGAGTTTGCCCATTCTGTTATTCGATACCGCCACCAATTTACGCAACCTTATACTAGATCTAAACTTGTCACAGATCCGATTTCTCGATACATCCAAAAGTCAATAATTGCAATCCAGCTGTCGACAAGTCAGATTGATCTGATTGGAGATGCCAGCATCCAGCCAGCTGCTCGTTCAGAAATAAAAAATTTGATGCAACAGACCGAAACGCTCTCAAATTATTCCTCCAATATTTTAATTGATTTTTTTTCCTTCTCAGCGAGGATCGTCAATAATTCATTGTTGTAAAAACAATCAGTTCGTAATAGTGTTTGTAGAGCTGTTATTATTGGTCGGTGATTTGTTGTTCAGTTAGTAACGCCTTGCATCCGGGCCCCAATAATTTCAGTTTGCCTCCTGAGGTTTCTGAGATACGACCATAAATACATACTGAAGGGTTCCTATACTATCCCTCCATTACTTATTTAAGTGGCTTCCAGCATCGTACGTGTCTATATTAATAATAATCTCTGTAAAAACACGCACATTTCCTGTATTGTCGGCTAAATTTAGACGTTATTGAGTGATAAAGACCCACTTGAGGCTCTAACATAACATGGCTCGACCATAACACGAATTGTTGAACTTCATTAAAAGAACTCGACCGTTTCACAAACATGGAAATTGCAAAGGGAGTGCACCGGAGATATAAATTAACCGTCGATAGTCACCAAATTTCGGAAAAATTCGACATTTGTTTTCATATTCAAATCAACCGAAAGGAAAGTACTTCGCCGTTGAATATTCATGCCGAGAGCTTAGAGAAAAGCAAGAGAACCAAAGATTTATTAGCGAGGAGATTTTTTACGACGAATCAAATTGTGTTGCACAGTGCGAGCTTTAAACGAGTTAAAGTAACTTTTTAAATCGAATCTGTCGACTTAAATGAAATCAAATTGGGGACGGTGCAAAGGTGCTGAAATGGGGGGGCGGAGGAATTCCTGGGGGAAATATAACGTGCGACTACTATGTTTTTTTGAGCTGTTGTTTAGTGATTTTTAAGAAAAGAAGTTGCAACCACTATCTAATTCAGGCTATAAAAACGGTTATTTACATAAGACTACAAGAGTTTGACTAACTTTAAACACAATTTAAAGTATAATATTTACAAAATAGTAGCTTCAAATATCAGATTTTATTTGTTCATATTTTTTGACATCTTTGACTGAATAACAATTGTCAATTAAATTAATTATTTTTATTTATATCATTTTATTGTTGTAGACATGTTTTATCTAAAAAATGTGAAATAGACCATCGAAACGTCATATTTAAAACACATTTTGGACTTTATTAACCTTAACTTTACATTCGTTATAAAAAATCTTTATTTTTGATTTTTGTGTCTACATAACTAAAAATGTACAAATACGGATATAGAGCGAACCACAATAATAATTTCATTTGAATTTTATAAAAATCTCATGTGACTAAAAATATTTAAATTTAAAAGAAACCTTGTCAACTGCTGTTTATTTATATTGACACCATACATGTGTAATGCTGAAACCATGGCAATGACACATTAATAACCTCCCTTTTTTAAAAAACATTAAAACAACAAATCCTCTTGACTATAGAAACATTTGCTCAAGAGGACAAACTCAAATCTTGCTCTGAATCATAAAATTTGCCTCCCTTTTATTAGTCACAGTTTAATGTGTGTAAATCCCCTAACTCAAGGTTCAGACTTTAGAGTAAGGCTCAAAACCTTTTTTTACATTTCTCCGTTTTTCCAATTTATTTCCTCTGAGTTATTCTCCAATTTTGACAGAAAAGTAACCAAACACCGGTTTTTGACGTTTGCTATTGCCAACTTATTAAAAATCTTCTTTTTGCATCCACCTTTTACCTCTGACATTGCGACTCTTGCAAAGGGTTGCAGATTAAACTCGTCAGCGTCAATTTAAAAGTGCATCTCACCCCTTGGAAAAAATCTCCGACAATTGAAAGCCCGCAAAAGCTCATACGCTTGCGCTCCGGCATCGAGCGGGCTTTGAATGCTGCATGCGCGCTTCGAATGTCTTCCAGTGCTTACTACGATGCAAAGCGGTATAGTGGGTGTTTTTTTTGAATTAGAAGTGCACGTGGTTTAATTTTGTGGCCTAGTTGACCTCCACTAGTGTTCCAAGTGTTGCTGAATGATTTTCGCTTAATTACCACCCGTTTCCGGTCTAGGTGAGTGTCGTCCGTTTCCGTTTTTCGTCGCGATTTTTTGCAATTGTCCAGGATGTTATCGTCATAGCAACAAGGGATGTTGAGGGATAATAGGTGCGTTTACCTGTTGCCCTTGGCCTACCTGGACTCCCAAAAAATAAAAAAATAAAGGTGTAGGTTGTACCCCGAGGTGCGACTTTCGGCACATGTTTCGCGTTTTAATTAGAAAATTTCATTATCAAACAACGGAAGTAATTTCATTAATTTAAACAACCTCTGCTTGGTGTATAACCAAAATAAACTAGGAAATTATTAAGTTTGCTAGTTTCAACTTGCTCTAACTGTGTAATACATTATTGTAAACATCCGCGGAACAATCAGTCGATGTTTAATTGAGTGTGAAGTCGGAAGTTTGGGGAAAAAATTGCTTTTCGGTTAATTTTCATTTCAAAAGGACAATGAAAGGTCACACTTTGATACATTTTGCTTTTTTAAGAGAAAATTTTGAAGCAGCGTTGATTGAATTGCTGCGTCATATCCATGTAGGGTCCACGAACCCAGGGAGGGTTGCTAAAAGGGACGTAGTTGTTCCCCTAGCTACTGGATTCTTTTATCTGGGCGGATTAACATTTTTGCACACGTAGGGCTGCATCGAAGAGTGGTTTGAAATTTTATAAAGGATCAATTGTTGATTTTGCAAGGATTAAGTTACWATGGAAAGAGACATTATATTCTCTTATTTGTAATTGTCACCTACCTGAAACCTTTGGAATAGTTGGTCGAAATAAAAAAACCTTCACATGTGTTTAGGTTTTTTATTAAAAAATGGTGGTGATATTGTACGAATTGTACGTTGAATAAAAAAACATTTTATGAAAGACATACAAGACAAAAAATGCTGAATTTTGATCTAAACAACGGAAAAGTTGTAAAATTAAATGTCCCTAAGGCTATATGCTGTTGCAGAAACGAAACAAAGTTTGGTTGCTCTTTATTTTGTTTAATAAAAATAAATAAATAAACAGTGCAAGGTTTGCGATGTGCCTGCTACAGTTTCTGATAAACACCCTGTGCTTTGACTTGATCTGACTTCAGTAATAAAAATCCTTAATTAATATTTCACCACTGGTGCAAAACCTGACTATGACAACCAGCAAGATTTATAGTGTATTTTGTTGTACGTTGGTAATCATTTTAATTGACATGACCGAATCATTATTTTTCATTGTTTCAATAATTTGAAGTCTGTTCTTGATTTTGGAATAAAAACGAGACTCAAAAAAGCGCTCATTCATCCTAATTGTATAAACCCTCTCATTCATCCTTATTGTTTGTCCCCCCCAATCACTCTAAAAAACCTCCCGTTCTGGCACCATATGCACTCACCTGTCCCTAACGCAATTAAATTTGATTTATTCCTTTTGGCCTCTTCTCAATCTGAACAAAAACCCGATTTCGAATCAGCCCCAACATTCATTAAGATCCATCAGATTTATTATAATTAGTCTTGTCCCACCTGTGTTATCATCCGGTGGCTCACAGATGTTGTTTTTTCTTTTATCGAAGCGTCGTGAAAGATGAGCTTGAGACGCGACAGATTCACCGGAGCTTGAAGTTGTCCTTAGTCAGGGTCGCGACCTTTGATTAAAATAAGGAATTTGGACCTGAAATTATAATCGTGGAGGTAGCAAATGTCGGAAATAATTGGTCAATAACCCGCAGACGTGTATTCTAGAGGGCATTTAGGATGAGTTAGTGGACTTGTGTGCTTCCGGGGCAATTTAGCCCGGATTTTCCTCCGGCGGTGATTTCCGGACGTTTTTTCGGACAAGGCCGAGGAAAAAAGTATGAACGACTCGCTGTTTATTAATCAGAGAGATGCTGAAGTTGGGGAATTTAATCTCAGACAAGATCATCTCTATCGAAATTATTGCGTTGTCTGCTGAGAGAGGCCTTCGTGGAATTATGGCGCACATAAGTTATTTTTTCTTTTATACGACGTCGTATTTATTACTCTCTACGAAATGTGCGTGGTTTTGCATTATTTGAAAATATCCTTATAACGTCATAATAATTATTATTGTAAATTTTTAATAAAAAACTTAATATATTTTTAAGTTTCTGCCTCCCTTGACAAGCCGCCACTGCCTCATGCGTCCGATTTTTCCCACCCAGCTTGGATAAAAATAGCGGCGAAAAATTAGCACATGGTCGCTGAATTGTCACCAAGTGTCACTGAAACATTTTTTTGTTGGTGTTTTTGTATCGTACTATAAATCACCAGTATTATTCCACGCATCCTTGGATAAATGCAAGTGTCAAAATCCGGCCCCAGAAAGAAAATCTGTTGATTCGTTCCATTTGTACCTGCCAGTTCTCGCAAATAAATAGCGTCTCTTTTCTCTCCCAAAACAAAACACTTACATATAAACATTAGCATTAAGTAATTTTCCGGCTGTTGAAACTTTGCCCCATCAATCACAACCCCCGTAATTAAATACCTGGCAGTTGGCGAGCGTATTCTTTCCAGGGGTCGCAGGACACGTGCTTAGAAAGCGTGGGAATATTTGTATGTTTTAGTGTTAATATGTTTCCTGTGAATATTAAAAATGGAAAGGGATGTTTAGATTGGGACCAGGAGTCGACACCCTCGGTCTATTTCGATCGGATTTTTTATTGGAGGTAAAGTGAACGACATGTGTTAGCTGTGATGGAGAAATTCGAGCGACTTTGTGCGGTTGTTGTCAACGCACAACTGCTATTGACACTTTGCACAAAGAGATGGCGAGCTTTGAGGGGAGATGAATAGTGAATACAAAGAATTTATGCAAAAGTTGAACAATTTTGCATGGTGGATAGCGAACAAAGGCTCGTCAAGGTGGCTTTGTTGCTAAAAGTGTGTAGTTGCCAGGTAAAAGGCAATTATATCACATTTTTTTAATTTTGGGGTAGAAAGCTTTTTGGCAGCACTTAAGAAAAAAAAACTATGCTGAAATAGGGCTTTGTCAAATAAAAACAGTTTTGTTGAAATTTGGTCAATCAGTTAATGTAAAATAGAAGTTGTTTACGGTCTTGGAAATTGACCTAGTAATAGAAGAGTACAGAAATACTGTAAAAAAAACTGACACAATTGTTATTATTAAGAATGTTATTTAACCCCAAAATATTGGTACACGGTTTGAGGGTCACTGGAATTATTTCCTTGTTCAGATAAAATTATTGTATTGTTGCAACAAATAAAGAAAAAATTATATCCATGACAATTAAAGAGAAGTCACTTCATAGTTTTGTCACTGTCATCATTGGATTTGCTTTTGCTTTACTTATTATCAAAATTCGAATATTTTCTGTTTAATCTCTTCCAGCGAAATGGTTTTTATTCGTTTTTTTATTTTTTTTTCCAAATTCATGAACATAAAATATTAAAATAATAACTTGGATGTCGTGGTGAAATACATACAAGTAATGATACTAACGGCCCTTGTTGTAGTCGAAGCAGCAGTTCTCAATCAAATAATATAAAATGAATTATTTCCTTTCACAACGTGAATTTTTGTTTTATAGAGGGTTAGTTACTTTGAAAATTAATAATTTTGTAACCAAAAATACTTTTTGCGTATGTAACTGGATATAATATTTTATTTAAATTAATTCAGTAATCAATGTGAGTTGGATGAAAAGGGGTGAAGTCGTCAAAATGACAAGTAGTCTAGTAGTAAATGACAAGTAATTATCTACTGCTTCAAGGACTTTAATTTCATTTTCTGGGCCAGTAGCAGTCTTCTGACGGGGTCTTTCATTGGGGGCCAATCTTGTCGCAACTTGGCTTCAAGTTTTCTAAATGTTTCAAGAACCGGATGCATTCGATTTAGATACCTCTCCAAGTACAGAGCTGCTACCGCAGCAGCATTTTTCTTGCATTCTCCTTGGATTAAGACCATGTCCACTTTTTAGTTATTTGTGTAATAATACTACAGAACACCTACAAAATAGAACGCCTACTTAATGGTTTTAAAAAGTTTCTTTGTGGCGTCATCATACGTCCGGCCCGTGAACTAGAAAAGGCGGCAATTTTGAAAATATGTTTTGTTTCAATTTATTATTTTTTATTAAAATTAAATCAAAAATGTTTTAGAGAAAATTTTATTTTTAAAATACAATCACATTTTTTATATTATTTTAATTTACATTAATTATGAATTTAATTATTATTTTCTAAAGACAAATAATTTTAAAAAAACCGCTTGGTTCCCTGTATGTATTTATTTATACCTTCCACTGGAGTCACTCTTTTTCGTGGACTATAAAACCACATTTTCGATAATTCTACATCTTCTTTTTGTGTTGTGGAAAAAGACAGATCAATAGTGGGATTGCTAACTTCTGGTGAAAAATCAATTTTCAGCTGATCTGAAGAATGTTATGGGTTGAGAAAATTAAGAATTAAAACCTAAGTTTTAAAATCCCACTTTTGGTACCGACACCGACGACGCATGTTTCCGCAACTCCTCACTGTTATATTCTTACGTGTATCTTTCTTTAATAAGCAAAAAGTTAGAAAGCAATGTTATTATTTAACTGAACTTACCTTGACAAATATTAACAGAACGCAATGAGTTGGGGAACAGACTTTTGAACACACTGGAGCTCTTAATTTAGTCTGGCAAAAAGTGGCTCTTTTTTCGGACGCGGAAACCGAAAGAGAGGCCCAGATTTAAATGGGAAGCCCACCACAGCAAAACAAGTTCGTTTGTGGAAACTCATTCTAAACAGTTAGCAATTATTATCGTAGATTAGTACAAAAATCAATTTTACCTCAAATTCCAGGAATTTATTTTACAAACAAGACTCAATTTTGTGTTTTTTCATTGATTGCGTTGACAGTTCAAATTTTGAAATCATGACCAACTTGTTTCAAATTTCAATCCCGCACACTTCACGCCGATAAATTAGATTTCTTTTTTTTATTATAAATCTAACAAAAAAAGCTGGAACCTAAATTTGTTGTTTATGTTGTGTGT